ATGAGAATCTAAATTTGGAGAGAATGCCGAGAAGTACATCAAAGTCCACAGTATTAAAAGCACTGGTAAAATCAAGTAGCACTAATATTAAAATATTCTTTTTGTCAATATTAAGTCGAATATCCTCAGTAATTTTTACCAGTGCAGTAACCGTGCTATGACCGGTACGAAAACCAGACTGATACTGACTCAAGAGATCATTACGATAAAGATATTTAGTAAGGCGTCGATGAACAAAATGTTCCAATACCTTTGAAAGTACGGGAAGGATTGAGATAGGTCGGTATTCCGAGAAAGTAGACGGATTGGATTTTTTAGGGAGAGGAATAACATGCGCTAGTTTCCAGGATGTGGGAAAAGTACCAGTAGAAAGAGAAAAGTTTATAACGACGGCTAATATATGTGCTATAAGATCCTTGATAGGATCCAACATATCCAGACTGATATTATCATTGCCCACTGCCTTAGATTTGATAGAATTCAAAATGTCTATTACCTCTTGTGATAATATAGCTCCCAACTCAAATAAGTCTGCATCGGAACATACACTACAACTACCGGCTATTTGTGCTAGTGTAGACTGTTTGGTTGCAGGATCATAGTAGATAGGTGAGGTACTAAAATGTTTGTTAATCGCATTCAAGTCCAGGTTACGACCTACTGTGTGTTGCTGTTTGCCCACACCCAAACCTTTCAAGAACTTCCACAGTTTATTCGGTGGACAGTTCTCAATTCCCGAATGAACATACTTCCGTCTAGCAGCCCTACATAGTTTGCTGCACTTGTTACGCAACTGCACGTATCTATCACGCTCTACCTCGGAGGGATGATGTCGCAAACGTATTTTAGCTCTATCCCTGAGTGCCATAATTTTTTTCAAGTCGTCTGTTAACCAGGGTGCAGGTAGATGTCTTACCCGAACTGGTCGAAGTGGGGCATGCTTATCATAGATTGTCAACAAAATTGAGTTGAACACTTCCACTTTGGAATCAATATCTGCCGCAGCCTCCACCGCAGCCCAATCCGCACCAGCGACATCGTTCCGAAGCGAAACGACATCAACAGTCTTATAGTTGCGCAACATCATAACCCTATATTTACGTTTTGGAGGTCTTAATTTATATGATGCGAAGACAAGGTCATGTGCTGAGAAAGCTGTTGCATTGAACTGTCCATATAATGAACACATTTCGGGTGAGGATGTAATAATATGATCTAGTCGCGAGGGAGGACCATTATGTGGATAGTGAGTGGGGCCAAGAGGAAGACAATGCAGGTCAAAAGATTGAAGAAGTGAGAGAAATTTATTTGAGCGATGATCATTTTTTATAATACAAGTATTGAAGTCACCCATTAAAATAAAATGCTCAAATCGTGGACAAAAGTCTGTCAATAAAGCTTCTAAAGAATTGAAGAAATTTACATGCAAAGATGGACTATAGTACACACCCAGCAAGATTTTAGTGTGATGCAGTGAAACTTCTAAGAATAAATGTTCAGGCGTCTGCGCGATTGACTGAGAATGTGATATTATATTGCATTCGATATCACCCCGTAAGTAGATCGCAACACCGCCGCCACCCACCATTCTAGAACTACTATTATTGGACACTAAATATGTCCTATCATTACGAAGCAGTCGAAAGCCAGGAAGAGGATAAAGAGTAGAAGGCAAAGACGGCTTCAGGAAAGATTCAGAGATTAGAATGGCGTGGATGTTCTTACACTTGAAAGTAGAAAGTAGGTCCATGTAATGAGCAGGTAAACTCTGAGCATTGATGTGTACTACATTAAAGTTCTTATGTAACGTCGCGAATGTTATATCTAAATTATCAGTTAGAGAAGGCATATCACTGATGTCCCACTCAGCACTAGAAAAAAGATCATTTGAAGATGACAATGAAAAATATTCTAAATCGGTATCATTATTTAATACATCTGACATTGAGCTGATATATATATATAAATAAAATAAATATAAAATATAATATATATAACATATTATTATAGTTAATTATATATTTAGGTATGTTTGTAAAATCCCAAATACATGGAGAGTATAAAGAAGTTTTCATCAATTATTTCACTATTTATTAATTTTATTGATTGTGTTTTGCGATTGTTCGAGTTCTCTTGAATTGTATTTTAAAGTAACTAATTCTAATAAGATTCAAGAAAGAGAGACAGAATTAATTTAGGTGTTGAATAAAAGGTGCTTAATATACTCTCTGAGAAAATTGGACATTTGCAAAATAGGGTTGCTTAACAAAGTCTGAGTAGATTGGATATTTGCGCAACGGGTATTATAAAATCTATAGGACCGCGTTTTCACCAAATATACATGGTGTATTTTTCATGTAAAGTATTCACCTTCACACCAAGTTTTTCATATATTATGTAACATGTATAAAATATATTTGCTTATTTTTAATGTCAGGAGAAGTGATTATATCAAAACGTACGTCGTAGAAAGTGACTTTCTTATTCAAAAATATTACAAGTCTACTATACTACGAGTATATATACTCGATTAAAAAGTTGTTTAAAGATAATATGATTTAATGTGATAATATTTGCATCTTAGCATATTCTTTTTTTGTACTTAATGCTATATTTTGAACCTTTTTGCTCTGTAGGTAATAATTAATAGTGAAAACTGTATTAGTTAATAATTATTTACTATGTTATATTTTATCTGTAAATGTTTATTTTTAATTATGGTAAATTAAGTTTAATTATATGTACATTTTATTTGCTCATTTTTTTTTCTCGTTTGTTGTTTATATTGTATTTTTTACATTGCACTGAATAAAATTTTTTTCTTTCTTCTTTCTTTCTTTCTTTCTTAAATTGTTATGTTTGTTTCCCAAATAAGAATAAAATAAATAAATAAAACAAAATTCCATTCCATTCACTGACTAACTACGATATCTCTGGAAACAAAAGGTTATAAAACTGAAAATTCACTGAAAAAGAAACATAAGAAAACGTGTTCCGCGTTAGTAATGGCGCAGTATATTTTTATTTTATTTTTTATTTAAAAGTTCTAAGATAAAACAGCTCTCTAGAGAAAAGGTAATAAGACACTATTACCCACGGCCATTAGATAGTAAAGAGCGGTTTAAATAGACCAGCAAAATGGTAATAAAATGTAGACTAAAACACTGACATACATTAGCTCAAAGACACGTGAAAATTGAGTTTTATACAGTTGAACTGAGACACTTTATTGTCGCGTTGGATCGATATCGCTCTCTATACTCTGTCTTTTCAAACGACTTTAAAAAAGAGGAGGTTCTTAATTCGATTATATATCAATTTACATATAAATCGATATAAACTATGAAGCTACATACTAAAATATGAAGCTACATTAGATATAAAATATTTATAACCTATTCAATATATTGACTCTCATTAACATACGATAAATAGCAATCAACTCACCCTATAAGAGATTGAGACATTCCAATAATTTACACGCAGAATAATTTCAAACCAAGTATATTATTAATATATTCGTTAAAGTTTCTCAAATGTAATTCTATCAAGCATGTCAATCATCGTAAAGATTTTTTAAGTCAAGGCGACAGTTTTATCTTTGCGCGTAGAAAGACAATGTCAGGTACTATCTTTAATCTGTGCCTTATATTTTTAAAATATTGCTATGATACTGATATAATGATATTGATATTTATTTAAATTTCGAATTCCTAAAGCTATTAAAATTAAAGAAAAAATATTTGCTACATTTCGCGCGCTTTTTCTGATAGATAATTAGAAATTATTTAGTGTTAGTACATCGAATACGAAAATGAGATTATTTAAAAGAAACAAGTATGCAATTTAAATAAGATACTTATATTAGTATAGAAAATACAACTCGAGCAAAATATTTCCTCAGTATTATTAACAATCTAGTATCTATAGAGTAGGTACTACGTGGAAGTATCAACACCAAGAATTTAATCTTGTCGACTACGCTGAGAAGAACAATAAATAGCTAGGTTTATGTACTGTATACTTATTTATATAGGTACTCGTTGTCGATTGTGTCAAATATAAACAGTATGTAGTATAGATGAAAGGTGAAAACTGGAACGTTTACAAACTTCAGACTGCGTTCGCTTCAAGTTTTATGTTTTCCTTTTTAATACAATAATATATTTTTTTTTATACCACTGAGGTGGCAAACAAGCATACGGCCCACCTGGCGGTAAGCGGTTACCGTAGCCTATGAACGCCTGCAATACCAGAGGTATTACGCGCTCGTTGCCAACCCTGAAGAAACCTCTTTACCCCCCTTTTGAAGAACCCCATGCTGTAGACTCTCGGGAAAACCTCGGCAGGGAGCTCATTCCATAACCTGAGTGTTCGTGTGGGAAAACATCTCTGAAACCGCGTTGTACGCGACCATTTAGGTTGTAGGGTATGAGGGTGAACTCCCTGTCGATGGCGATCCGTACGATGATAGAAAGTGGCCGTAGGCATCATATTGAATAATTCCTCTGAGCACAATCCGTTGTATAAGCGGTAGAACACGCAGAGTGAGGCAAAATTTCTCCTAAGACTTAAGGGTTGAATACTGAAATACTACATAAATGTGTACTGAACTATGTTGTTTCATTTGAGATTTCAAGAAATATGTAATTGGTAGATCGCACAGAGTTTTGTCAGTAAATAATAGATCTTAGATCTAGTCAATTGGGGATCCCTGTTATACACACTAATAAATACATAAATATAATAGGGGAAAATAAATGTACAGATATACGAGCTTAACTCTACAAGAGTTTTATTTCAGAACCGACAATTCCAGAATTTCCAGAACAGAAAAAATGAAAAGGAGCATCAATTTTAGCAGGCGAAGCGGTGTAGAATACTGTGAAAGTTTACAGAAAAAAATTGTTACAGAGACTTATTTTTCTTAATACTTACTTCTCATTTATAGAATTATAAAGAAAGTACTCTTCATTATAACCAATTTCATTTTGTTACAGAATGTACAAATTATCTTGCACAGCCACTAATGGAAAACGGGAAACCGGCTGATCCAGCATACGATGTAAATATCGCTAGTAAGTATTCCTATGAGTGGTTAATAGCGCGAAACTAATTTATATAAGCAATCTCACTGGTGATTAGCCCGTCGTAACCCGTAGCATAGTACTTACCAAGCAACGAGTGGATTAGTTCTGTACATAAACATGTACAGTACTAAAGTTTATGCAACTGCGATATAAATTCTACGCCCTCATTTCTCCCTAGAGGTGTTTTATAACTTTTGATAATTATCCGTGTATGAATCATCAAAATGGTTTCACACGCACGTACAATGAAAAAAAAAATGACTAAATGAGTTTATCGTGACTTTATGCCACTCCGACTAATAAAGGAATTTGACCAAAATTATTTTTTTATTCCAATATAAATTATTATTAATTCTTCGGCGATGGAAGATACTAATGGCAAACCTAATTAGTCCGAGCGATAATAATAGAGTCACCTTTTGCCACATTTTTTTTGATAGGTAAAAATGATATAGTAACCCCGCCTGCGCTAACGGGATACGCTGGCGGAGCACCAGTGAAGGGTGATAGATGAGAATGAAAACTGGCCAGTTAACCCATCATGATGAATTCATCAGGAATTAACCATGATAGTTTCCAGGGGGAACCGCGAGGAGGTCGACCTGGTTGGGTATATTGCTAGCAATGGGATTCTCAGTCTCCATTACTAACAATCCCATTCCCCCCCTTTTGCCACACTAAGCTCGATGAAATATGGGCATGTTGAATGTTACGTTCACCACAACGTAATAGACAGTATATGCTTCTATTTACCCCATTAGATATTATAGCTGTGAATATATTTTTATTTATGTCTTTGTGAATTCAATATATTACTATAACCTACCATATCAGCCGTTAATCGTCCACTGCTGAATATAGGCCTTTTCCATTACGAGAGTTTTGCCAGTAGTTCTCACGCTTGCCTGGCGAGTTGGCAACCGCAGTTAAATTCTGGCGATGTCTTAGGAAGGATACTGTTGCCCATCCCTTGTCAATTAGTCGGCTCTTACGACACCTACGGGAAAGGAAGGAGTAGCCTATTCTATACCGAGACCACACGGCGATATTTTACTACTTAGTTATTGTTACAGTATAAATTAATTATATTCACCGTTAATACATTGTTATAATATATCCTTTTGCCTGCAGATTATGTGCGAACGATGATCTCTTTCGGCATCATAAGCTTGTTCGTAATGGCTATGGGATGCGGGTTTTCCGTATATACGTTCCAAAACCCTCGCTATATGTTCAAGAGACTTGCAGCTGGCATACATTTTATAAGCAGTGAGTATTATTACAAATTTTTATTAAACTTTCAGTGTTTATTGTTTAGTTTGTTCAGGTCAAATAAAGAACGCTAAAATAAAATTAATTCTTAACATCTTATTGAATGGAAATTTTGCAAATACCTTTAGTTCCAGTAATAATCATTATCTTCCTACCCTTATCCCAATCATTTGGGGTCGGCGTAATATTGTTTTATCCATATTACAAAAAAAATTGGTTTTTAGTTTTACGGCCGGCCACCTACCTGACGTCAACCCTTCTTTAGTTCCAGTAATAATATAATATGCAATACTCAATAATGTAATATTTTCAAAATGATCGCCATCACAAGATGGTGAAGCACGTATTTCTTTTTTCAAAGCCAAATAATATGGGTGTCAAATGAAAGAACTTGAAGAGTAGGAAACGATAATAAATAAATAGTAACAGCACACTAAACTTAATATTCCCGTCGCTCCAATATGTCAGTATGTCCAATATGTCCAATATTTGAACCTTGAATTAATAATATAATTATAGTCCAAGCGGTCTCTAAACCCTATTTTGTAGTACTATAAACTAAATCTAGACATGGGTTGTTTTCAAAATAATTTAAAAACAATTAAATAATCAACATACTTGCGATTATATAAGGGGTTATTTTATTGTAAATTGATTTAGTTAAGTGAAGAAAAGGATTTTTGTAATATCGCGAATTTTTGTCGAACCAGTTTTGTTACCGTCTAATATTTAAACTAGTTTAAAAAGTTGATCGAATCAGAATTATGTAGAAAGTTGTAAATTTGTGTAACTATATATCGTATGTTAATGAAACCATGATAGGAAAAAATTATTTTATTGTAAAAAATATTACGTTGAAAAAAGTTCTTTTGCAGTTAAAACTGTCAAAATGTCAGCTGTCACCCGCACTACGCTACGTATAACAGAGTATAATTAGTAGCACCGTAACAAATAAATTTTACTGTTTCTGTTTTATAGTTATTAAAATAAAAATTAAATTTTCGAATAAACTTATAAAACAAAAGTTAACATGTTAGTTTTTCTTAAATAGATAAAGCATACACCCACGTTTGCTTAATATTTATAAAAGGTTTCCAGTCATGCCGTATCTAACAAACACATACGTACATCACATGCACAACAACATCTGTAATAATCCGATTAAGGTTTTTAGGGAAAGATAAAGAAAACAGAATTTTAACAACGTTTACTCAATCAGCTGGTTATACACAGTTACCTATCATTTCATAGATTTTGGCACAGGCTAGATGTAGTATGCTAACGAGATAATAGGATTAGTTTTACTTTTAAAAGTTATTTCAATCTGGATGCATTGTCTGACCTTCATCAGATAGAAGAAATAAATATTCTCGCCTCATGTTATTCAACACAAGCACTACATAATCTGTGTATCTAAATGTAAATGAATCGCGGCACTATATTTTTGAGTTTATTTTCATATAACTAACATTAATAAATTGAACTAAAGGAAAATTATGAAATATTACTATTAAATAACAATAATATTATTGAATTTCTTTATACAGGAATACTGCATAATATAACTATGTGTGTTGTGTAATGCTCTTTCGTTTTCGATGCCATAATAGAAATTAATTTTGCTTTATAAACTGATAAATAGTTACGTGTTTGATTAAATGTTTACAGAATATATTTATTAATAAAACTAGCTTCCACTCGCGACTTTCTCCACGAAAAATAAATAGTAGCCTATTTCCTTTTCCACCCAAAATAGTAAATATATTTTTTTAAGACTATTCATTGAACTGTTAAAGCGCTGTAAGATAACAAAAAAATAAACTCGATTTCAAATCTATAATATTAGTCAGAATATAACAGGGATGTACATTATTCATTCATACATTTTAGAACTCGTTTAATAAATTACTATAAGTAAAAGAAATATATCAATTATATCTTTTTTTAGCATCGTGTACATTCGTCGTGGTACAAGTAATGATGTCATCGGTGGATCATTTGAAGAAGAACGTAAAATTTGTGTACCCAGAGCGTGCCTATCACTAGTAAGTAATTACGTCATCCTTCTACATCCATATAGTTAAAATAATATATTTTAATGAAACATTCAACAATGGTACTTTATCACACATAAATATTTCAGATTTATACGTAGTCTTGTCATCATTTCTAACTTTGTTCATTCCTGTATATTAGCCTCTCATATTCTGTACTAAACAGACAAGTCCTGAACTACCTACATGTATACATTATTTGCGTACATTTAATGTTGTTAGTTCATCTAGTTGGAGAGTGTCTGGCATTGTTTTTGTCTGAATCCCTATTCCAGAATTAATTGGAAAACTTTGTTCTTATAAATCCAATGGTAGAATGTTGTAAATCTAAAAATAGAGAACTGTTTAAATCAAAGGGGTCAATTTTGAGGTACAATTCCCTGAATGTATTTCTAAATTTACAATTTTACTTTGAAAGTTTAGTAAAACTATTATATTGTATGGATATTGTTATATTATATATATGATATCAAATTAAAATTTTAATTTTAGAGATAGAGATAGTGCTTTGGTATCGACTCTAATGTATAATTGTATATTATTTTATAAATAAACTGCTAAAATCTATTTTAATAGAATTTAATGATTACGTAACAAATTAATATTAATATCTGCAAGCTGCCTAAGAGTTGGGTTAATTATTCCTTTGTTTACATTTCCTATTGAAACTGATCATAGTATTATATATCATAGGATTAATATTGTATACTTCAAATATGTATGTGTATATATATATATTTGTAAATTATGTATTTATTTATTATTGTTGTTTTTATTGCTGGTTTGCGCTACTACTGCCCACTCACTACATCGTATACGTACTACTGACAGGAAGAGATCATCTCATTTAGATATAAGTTCACCTTTGCTTACGTTATTACTAATTGTTATTGTATACGTTTTAGTGCAATAAAGAATATATTTAATATTCTATATTTTTTATCTCAATTCGTATTAATTGTAGCAAAAAATATCATCTTCATTATTTCACAGTTACCACATCAGTTTCTTCTTGGCATGGTTTGTTGTGCTGATCAATCTGTTTGCGGCGGCATCATTCTTATGGTATTCGCGAAAAAGGAAAGGGGACAAAGCAGCTACTGACGAATTGGCCATGGCCGATGAACCGACAATCATCGGCCGATGACGGCCCAAGCCGACCACCTCCAAACATCTCAAGTTACGGAGGATTTTCCTCAAGTCTTTACTGAACAGTGCTCAAATGACCAATAGCTATAACAATGTTCGCGTCTTCCATATATTGTATGCAGCAGGTATTTGGGGTTTAGACTGCCTTTGGGACTGAATTACTAATTCTGGTAAACCATTGATGTATTAAAAAGAAACAAGTACCGATTTTTGCTTGTAACATTCATTTGTATCTCATTACTATTATCACGTTGTATTAATTTTAATTATTAGTGTTTATCAATTTATTGGTGGTATTCTATACGCAAAAACATTAAATTACATTTATCGCATATTACATCGCTTGCTTTGCTTCGAATAGCAGCCTGCAGAAACTGAATGTTACAAGTAACTAATAAAATGTATTGAAAGAGCAACAGACTTTTACAATTTGAATGTATTGGAGTAAAACGGGACGAATACTACCATGTCAATTTATATTATGACCATTTTCATACTAAAATTTAATACAGCCCTGGTTTATTATTTTCATATCTTAATTTAATGAAAGGGGTAAGTATATTAAACTCTGACATTTGTAACCTGATTTAAATAATTTCTTTCATATAATTTTAAAAATAATTCTCAAATTTTCAATTTTAAAATTTAATTACTAAAATTCTTAAATTGGACTCAGTTTAACTTTAGTAGCATTGATGGGTTTAATTTATAATGTTTTAATTTTAGTAATAAAACAGATGTTATTGTTGATAATCTGATTGTTTTAGTAAAAAATATTCTATTACGCTACATAATAATTTTTCAAATACTAATTTATATTACATCATATTTAAATTGCTTGATTTCTTTTGATTTTAACTTGGTAATGATTGATGATGATGTACACCATGATGTTTCTCCAATACAATACAAAATGTTGCTTTTTAAAACATCACTGCGTTGTGATCATAATTATTCAGATGTTTAATGCCTTGTTAATCTTATAAGCGACAGAAAATATCTTTATTGCGACATTTTTTATTACTCGCTTTGAATGTTATGTGGAAAGTATTTAAACTTTATGAATCTATGAATTAGCTATAATTACAGTATAAATATTAAAAGCAGTAGTTCTATAGATAATCGAGTAAACGGACCAAGTATTGCGGTAATAATTTATCAGAGACGGTTCATTATTTTGTATACTTATAATTTTTCGAGATATATAATCATTAGAATGTATTTTAATCATTTTTAAATCATTTTAAATATGAACCTCTACACAAATATCTTATCGTATCAAACATGAAATCCTTTATAATGCAATTGCAAATAAGGTATCGATTCTCGGTATGATTAATTTAATTTTCGAAATTCTGAACTTATTTTATAAGTACAGATGAAATCAAACTATTTTTTTTTATCTCACTTTATTATTAGTTAGAAAAGTGGGTTTTGTTTTATGATCAAAGTTATTATGAACATCTGAACTACTGTTTCGAATAATTCTACTATATTTCAGTCTTATGGGATTAACGATGTCTGTAATTCTTGTAGTGTGATAGGAAAGGGAACTTCAAACGAGTCTGTTACTGTTTGTGTTGTAACCTGTTGTAACATTACAATCATACCATCATGGCACGTGTCAGATCTAGTCATACATTTATATGGGTTTTATTATAATGTAAGCTCGAGCTAGTTTCGTAATTGGTGAGAAATTTCTAACAGTTCCCCCACGTTCTTTTCACCAAAGAAATTTATAACATTGTTATTTTAATTTTAATATGCTGATTTAAATTTCATTGTACTCTTTTAGTTAAATAAAACATTACTTAATATGTATTTTGGAGAAAAAGTAAATATTGCCTTATTTTTACTATCTAGAAACTAGTAATGACTAGATCGTGGAGGGACTCTAAAATTAATTTTTAACTATATTACATTACATTTTTACTTAATTTATTCAAGACTTTATAATGTTATGTTATTAAATTTTTATTAAGGTTTATGTTAGAACTACCTTTAATAACTTAGTTTCCTAAATACTAGCTCACTAGCAAAGAATTAGTGTCTACGTATATAATAGAAAATATTATTAATTGTTTTCTGTCCTTTATTAAGTATTACAATTTTAAATCCATAATTACTATTTAAAAGTTGTTGCGGTCTTTTGAATTTATTTCATAATATATATGAATATCTCAGATATATTGTGATTTTCTTTATCATGGGTTTGGTAAGACAAAGACACAATTAGAATCAGAAATGTGATTGGAATGAACACCAATTTATTATAATTATTATATTATCTATTGTTATAATTAAAATAATAAGCTTTGCCGCCTACACCAATTGTTGTTACTAACATTTATCAGATTAGATATATGAACCTAAAACCAAAAATGACATTACACTTGTAAAATTCAAAATTATTTGTATTACAATAAAAAATGTATGAAATTCTAAGAAATATACGAGATATTCTGCAAATACTAAAGGTGACAGGGATGCATATTTTATCGGTGCATAATTTAAATTTGTCATATTTCTAATAGAAACTTAATAAAAATTAGAAATAATAATAAATATATATAGTAATATTTCTAAAGTACTCATATTTCCTTGAAAACTCATATATACATTAGGTATAGTAATTCTATTGTCATCAAAATAAAAAAGCTTACTTAAGTGGCCATTTTTTTTACTTTCATACAATAAATATACAATTCTAAATCTGATCACCGATATAACAGGTAACAAATAAAGTATCTAATATATAACAAAGGCAAACATTTTATACAAGAGGCTGTAAAAATGCATTTATAATTTTCAATTGCATTTTAGAAGACCTCTTCAAAGACACTTTGATTTTTATTTTCCTGAATACGGCCCTTAACATGCTGTACGAGTATATTGTAATTTAAAAATGAACGATATTCTAAACGAACTAAGTTATTTTCTAGATAAAATGAAGCAAAAACCACAATAACATGTAATAATATACCTATAAGTAGAAGACAGAAATATTCAGGGTTTGCTATTTTGTCCCGTGTAGCTTTTCAACAATTACGGGACTTAGAGCGGTGTTTATTCGAATTCCAGTTTAAATTTGCATAATCGTGTGTATTGATGTATGTTCTTCCTATTTATAACTGTTTTTTTTTTATGAATACATTTCTTAAAATTATAGTTCTGTAATCATTTATTATATTCCTGACCATATAATATTTCCTATACTTCCTTGGATACTGACTAAATTTTCTTATATATATAGATAAATGCTGATCAATGACAAGACAGCATTCGCTGGAGACTAGTTTTCCGTGATAGCTGTCTTGCATGTGCCAGTATTCTGTCATTTAAACATAGAACATTTTATATTTATCGTAAATCGAATGAAAGTACCAATGGCGTAACTTACTCATTAGTATACGGTAATTAGTTACTTGATATTATGTTAGAATACTGACAATTATTTAATAAATAGCATGAAATACGATTATATTAACCAAAACATTCAATAGAATAGTGAAAAGTATGATATTACTCACTATTAAATGAATCTATGATTACTAGGAAGAATCCAGAGGTAGAGTAAAAATTAGAAGAATAGATGTAATTAGAAAAGACCTAAGTTCTTGCAAAGTTTTTTTTTTGTATTTTATCAGCCGTTAACTGTCCATTGCTGAACATAGCCTCCACCATAAAGAGGGGTTTTGCCAGTAGTTGTCACCCTTGGCAGGTGGGTTGGCAACCGCAGTTTGGTTTGTATTCATGTTTTAAGAGGGACGCTGCTGCCCATCTGTCGACCATAAGCTTCCTTAGTCGCCTCTTACGAAAGGAAGGGGTGGTCTATTCTATGCCGGGACCTACACAGCTAATGAGAGTGAGGTGTATAATCATTCATAGGAAGTGGAAGAAATAAGTAAGGATACCTCATTATCAGATGGGTTTAACTGCGCAGGAGACAAACACAGTGCATAAGTATTAGTTAAAATATTCAATATCTCATCTCATTTGCATTTTAGATTTTACTCACTAAAAAAACATTATCTTAAAAACAAGGTTATCATTATTTTGATCTCATAACAACAGTAAACCCTATCGATTTCAGGAAGAATCATTAAAATAAATTTAGAATTGGTGAACATATCGTATAACATACGCTCAAAACAAAAAGAATGGCAAATTGTGAACGTATTTTTGAACTCGTTCAAATTAATTATTGTCATATGAAGACTCATTATCATTTTAATACTGCGCAACTAACTATGCATCTACTTTAATGATTCATACATCATACTCATTACTCACACCATCAGTAATGTTCAAATCTATTTTGGCGACAATAAAATCAAAGACAACAATGTTACGATCTCATCTAACAACAAACAAAAGAAAATAAATTTTAAATACATAACAGCTGCTACGAAACGCAACAAATCAATCAAACATTCATCTCGATTGCGGTAATGAAAGTCGGTATCGTAACCGAGTTGCAGATTTAACATTCAAGAACATAAAAAACAAATTCACTTTTTGACGGTGGTTATTTCTGTATACTCATTGTCGAATAGCTGGCAACTGCCCAGAATCGAGTGGTGACACTGCCAACGTCAACAAAGGTTAGTGTCCTAAAAAAAAACGTCGAAATAAAAGACCGAGGCGCGAAAGAATCAATCTGAAGGGCCCATTTTCTAGATAAAGATGTCCTTTGAGATTTGAGGAGACGCGGACCCTTTGTCATTAATTTAGTTCATATTGGATCATGAAGAATGACGATAAAAATGTTAAATCACAAATTCTTTTCGTGATATTATTTTACTATGATGTTTGTTCTATATTTTTCACACCTAGTTTCTTTTTCACTGAGCACAAAATAGTTGAGTAATCGTTTATTATTTCTGATGACCAGTAAAGTTGTTAGAATTTTTTTTATGTAGTATTAGTAATTTTCAGATGAAATAGACATATTTCTTATATGTTTATACGCTCATTTTTCAACATCTATAGTATTAAAAATATTTTTTTTTATTGAACATTATCTTAGGTTATATAACTATATAATATTATAAATGTAGTAATATGTTTAATAAAATATGTATCATAATGAATCAGTTAAAAGTCAATTTAGTTGGCAAAATGTTGACACATGTTGACACGTTTTTAACACTCACTGCTTTATTTATGTATATAACCTAAAGCTGTGACTTTGCAATTATATAAATTAGGATAAAAGCATTCCACTTTCCAATTTAAGCCATAATTCAACTGTTTACAATTTTTTCTTCAAAACCATTCAAACGTTATTAAGTTAAATATCTAAATATAAATAATTCACAAACTTTCCCATTTATAATATTAAATGACTTCTGAGTCAATTATCCAATTTCAGACATGTAAATAAATTATTAATTGATTATTTATTCATTCGAGTGTAAATAATTTAAATGTAGTGAACTATCAATAAGACTGGTACCTTAGAATAAAAAAAAAAGTATTTGGGAAATAGAGAGTGTAACAGAATCCAAATTCGCCTCTATTATAATTTAAATTCAGTAGTAAATAATCTCTGACTATACCTACTACTACATTTTGTTGTTACAAAAAATACTAAAAAATGTTGTCTATTATTCCATTAACAAACAGAAAACGAGACGGTTTTAAAAACATTATTTTTTTAGAAAAATATATCTATAAGCTACCAATTAGTATTTAACAATGACTAATATTTGAAATTTTGTAAAATATATATTAATTATTTTATTTATGCAATTTGACATAACAGATATGCTGACAACGTTCCTCATGTAAGTGGTAACTGTTGCCGTTACTATCGTATTGAACGGGTCTAATTAATAGCTATAGTAAAAATAAGAAAATGGTTTGATGTTAATTGGGTTTGGGCAATTAAAATAAAGGCTGTGTGAGCCTGGCATAGAATAGGCCACCCCTTCCTTTCCCGTGGGTGTCGTAAGAGGCGAATAAGGGAGGGCGAGAGATGGGCAGCAGCGTCCGTTTTAAAACACTTCCAAAACATAATTGCGGTTGCCAATTCGCCTGCCAAGTGGGGCAACTACTACCAAAATCCCCCAAGAGGGAGGCTTATGTTCAGCAGTAGACAGTTAGAGGCTGATATGTTGATGATGATATGAAAATAATAATTAATGAAACATTGAAAAGAGATTTGACTGTGAAAGAAAAAACGATGCCAAAGTGGAAGGATGCAAGTAGGACCGCAGTTACTATCTTTTATCTACGATGCAGGTAGAGAAAATGACCTATATTCGAAATCTTTTTTGTTTGAATTTCAAATTTGTATCTTTTAATTATATTTTTTTATGTTGCTCAAGAAATAAGTACACACAATATTTATTTACTATTACGCAGCTAATCATTCCGCCTATTTCTTTTTTAATGGGAAAATGGAATGGTACTCAGCCTTCGCTAGGTATACGCTGGCAGGATACGATTAAGATATGATAGACAAGCATGAAAGCAGGTCAATTGACCCATCGCATCGTGATTAAGTTTCCAAGGGCGACTGCGTGGAAGTCGACCTAATTGAGAATACAAATGGTAGCCCAGTGGTAAAAATTCGACCATAACATATATTGTAATAAATGAATTTTTCCTGGTTATGTTTGACATTTAGTAAGATTATAGACAAATAATATTAAAGACAAACAATATTATTCTCAATTTAACCCTAAGACTGTAATCTTTAATTTGACTACAGACTTAAGCAATAAACAAAAGAGTATATATGCATGTGTGTATCAAATACATGGTCACTAATACGTATTTGACGCACATAATGTGTAATGATTTTTTTATTAATTTATTGTATTTTTTTATGAATAATCTTAAAAAATATATTAATATTCTGTACTCCTTCTCTATAAGTATGTGAAATTTCTTACTGCTTCGTCCACGCAATATTCGTAAAAAGAGGTACAAACTTTTTGCTTCACGTATTAATATAAAGATTACTTGTAATTGCGCTGTAAGTCATAATTACTAACAATCTCTTTAAGATATCTTCAATATAAAAAAATGCATCTCATCAGCATCAATCAACATATCTGGGATTATAGCTGTCAACGTTTACTAAATTTTTTAAAATAGAAAAATAATAACCTCCTTGCTTGTCAAAAGATAACTGTAAAAAGAAAAAATGCAAGCGTTCAATACTTGTTTATTAGTTACTATGACAACCGTTCCGCTATTTTGCATGTTGTGGTGAACAGATAATGGAATAAAATAATTTCAGTTGTCAGATCAATAAAAGTCGGTGATTCAAGGAGATCACGCGATATGGCCGAGTCTAAGGTATGCCTAATGTAATCCACCCTACAATTTAATTAATGATCCTTACGTGACATGCGAAGTCATGCCACAGTTGACTGTCGCAGCACGATACCCTTGGGGCTTGGAGCTTTCTATAATTGTATGTTGCGGGGAGCTACCTATTATACTTTTGCTTTTATTTTTTTACCATCTCTACAAACTACATTTAAGGTTTTATCTTTATTACGATTAGAGTTATGCTGCATGATGTTCGTTGTCTATTTTCCCATAGTACTGAGTATCTTATATTAGAAACCATGCAATTGGTACGACTGTATTATTGAAAATGATTGTACTCATATGGTGGTCATATTATTTGTATACCTGTCTTTGCACAAAATGTCTTACAAAGTGGGCTGGGAAAACTAAATAATGTATATTTTTGGTGTAAGTATGTATGAAATACGATAGTAACACGATATATTCGCCGATTCGGAATTTGTACGGAACAGTATCACTATTTTCATTTATAATATGTTTATATTGTAGAAAACAGGTAGAAAGAAAGGTAAAAAGGATTTTAAATCGAGTACTGAAAGCAAGGATGATAATGAGGATCTCTCGAGCGATTCTGATGGTAAGTAATAAATATATTAAATGTATATATGTGATTTATTGTCATATATTGTTATTCAAAAATTAATAGATCAACATCACTACACCCCATTCACATTACACAATTGGTCAATATCCTCTTATAACGATTCTCTTCTTAGGATATGGATCAGATAAGGATGGACTATTTGCTATTACTGTTTATATAAGTATTTTTTTATTTGCTCGTACGCTTTACAAATTCTTTCTAACTTCATATCTATTATCGCATTGACTTCATTTTTCGAGATCTTTTCCGAGATTTAGAATGGCAAATTTATTAATTTCTTTTTTTTTTAATTCCACTATTCATTCTACAATAGTCTTACAGTTTCTTTCTATCTATTTATAAATCACACATGTTTATATTTAGTTTATTTAATAGAATAAATGAAAATAAGTACAGACATGTATACTGTAGATTGAGTGTATTCATTATATTATTATTACTAATGTTTAGTTTCAAATTTCGTATTTGAAAATTAACAAACAATTCATAAGTTGGCAGTCTTATGGTATGTGTCTCTTAACATAGTGAATCATAACTTCAAGACGCTATGACAGGCGCCACCAAGACGTCTATTTTTAGAGCTTACCCTACTTTCAAGATAATTAAAACGAATTAGGGATGCCACTTCCCTATTAGAGTGCGTTAAGTAGGAAATGTAATATTAGGTTAAGTAACATGCAGATAAAACTTGGTTGTATGATTCTTTGATAAAAAATAAGTAAGTCACCAGAGGGAGACTTTGTACAAAAGTCGTTTGCTTGGGTACCTCTGTCCCATTCGTGTTTCAACCGTGAAGCAGTTGTGTTTTCATGGCTGTGTTTCGGTTTGAAGGGTGGGATATAGCGTGAATTTACAGGGTACAGAGGAATAACACTTGAGTTCTCAGGAATGGCAACTCATGAAGGATATCAAAGAGCGAAATAGTATACTCTGTTATGTCCATGGTACTGCTCATGTCTATAGGCGACGGTTATCACTTTTCATTAGGTGGGCCATCAGCTTGTTTGGCATTCTAAGTTAAAAAGTTAAAAATCTAAAGTAAAAAAAAGTACTTAAATTAATTTAAAATGTAATTTATATTGAAAGTAAATGGAATTCTTGTCAATTTAACACTTTAAGTATAATACGAGCGGTTTAATACGAATAGTACACCTTAGTTCTTAGGAACGACAACGTCTGAAGAGTACGAAAAGCGTAACAGTCTCTTTTTGTAATGATACTCTGTGATGTTAACGGTTCTACTATTCATGTCTATAAGCTTACCACTTCATCAGATGGACCGTCAGTTTGTTTGGCATTTCAAATTCCTTAAAAATACTGTTTATCATTGTTACCGACAAAATGTATGTGCATAAAATAGAAAGAAATAATTATATGTACTCTGAAATTGTTGCTTCAATTGATTCTGTAAATTTTAATCTATTAGTGAGTGATCCAGAAGAAAAAGATCAAGAAGTAGCTGTAGGACATATAGGTCGTAGAGTCGGCACAGCGGCTGTGACGATCAACCGAGAAGAGTATATACAAGCCTACAGGGACCTTACATTCGACAGGAATCAACTGCAAATGAAAAATAATATTCTTCATCGGAGATTAGCGGAATATTACAGGTATTGATTATTTATTTTACTTGCACAATAAATAGGTATTAAATCATATAGGTTACAAAGTAATTTTTATAGTTGGTCCAGAATTTAAATATATCACATAACAATATATACAAAATATAAAGCAACCACTCTATTTGTATCTCTAAATTGTATTCTAAATTTAATGACAATAATTTGGGACATTAATGGCACTTGAGTACGAGTAACTCTTTTTCATATTTATAACTATTATTAATATATTAGTAAATATACACTATACAGATGCATATTTAGGTATGTAAAAAAAACTGATGTAAGTGCGCTTTGACATTGAATTGTTCGAAATATACTGTGTTATCGTATATCATATACAGTGAGTGTAGAAAGTATTCGTACACCTAGGGTTGTAATAAAAAAAATACGAATTTGATAGACTTTCTTTTATTTATCTAATTTAAATCAATACTATTAAATATTTTAACAATCCCGCACTTTGTTTATGATAATTTTTGTTTTTTAAAAACAAAATTATACAACATAAAAATATTTTTACGTTAACTAAGCAAATGATGACAAACAAAAAGTATTCGTACACTTATAAAATTTGTAAGTAAATGAATATTAAAAAAATATTAATACTTTGTTGGACCACCGTTAGCATTGATGATAGCTTGGAGTCTCTGCGGCATCGAATCAACTAGTTTGAAAATATAAGAAGACGGTATCAATGCCCATTCTTCGCGAAGTGCAACTTTTAGTGTTTCTTTACTCGAAATTGGTCGATTTCGAATTTTACTATCGAGATAATCCCACACATGCTCTATAATATTAATATCAGGTGATTAAAGAGGAATCTCTAGGTATTTTGGAGCGTTAAACAGGATCCATGTTTTAGTATTCCATGCTTTATGTTTAGGGTCATTATCTTGTAAAAATATCCAATTATTGTTAAAACCCATTTGAGCTGCACTAGAGAGAAGATTCTCTTTTAAAATATTAATATACGTTTTGTGATCCCTAATTCCATCAATAAATGCAAGTTTTCCCACCCCAAAAGCACTCATGCAACCCCATACAAATACTGACCCACCACCGTGTTTTACCGTTGGACATAAATTTTATTTCTTATATTCCATATTAGGTTTTCTCCATACCATATGATGTCCATCCGATTTGAAAATATTATATTTCGATTCATCTGAGTAAATAACAGTTTGCCAAAAATGTTTTTTTTTTCATTAATATATTTTTTTGCGAATTCTAATCTTTTTTTCTATTAATATCATTTACCCAATACTTTTTACGCGCAGTTCTTCCATGATAATCGTTACTACGTAATACGTTCCGAACGGTACTGACAGAAATATGGCAATCATTGATATTATTAATTTCTTGTAACACTCGAGGGGCACTAATTTTTGGATTTTTTTTTACACAATTTAAAATTTTCCGATCCAATCGAGGCGTGATTTTTGATGGACGCCCCACCTCTGGGTTTGTTTTTTAGTGTTTTAGTAATAGAAAACCGATCAATTATAGTCTGTACGGTTGAACGTGGTCTATTGACAAATTTTGCAATTTCACATAATGATTTGCATTGATTATGCAAATTAATAATTATTATTCTCTCCTCTTCACTCGTTTCTTTTGCTTTACGACCCATTTTTGTAACTAAACACGTCTATACTTGTCACGAGTGCAACTAAAACGTCTAATATCTATACCTACGTATTAAAAATGACCTTGGCATTGTAGGCATATGAAAAATTCGATTGAATAAATGATTTATACAGAATTTCATTTAAAAAAGAATGAATGTACGAATACTTTTTGTTTGTCATTATTTGCTTAGTTAACGTAAAAATATTTTTAAGTTGTATAATTTTTTTTTTAAAAAACAAAAATTATCATAAACAAAGTGCGGGAATGTTAAAATATTTAACAGTATTGATTTAAATTAAATAAATAGAGGAAAGTCTATCAAATTCGTATTTTTTTTATTATAACCCTAGGTGTACGAATACTTTTTACACTCACTGTATATATATATCATATCTATTCTTATAATAAATCTGTAGAGAGGTCAATTCTGTACATGAAATATATTTCCAAAATAACTATCAGGGGGTGATTAGTGATCGATACTGATGCCAAAAATGCAATCAGTAAAATTTTTGTCTGTCTGTCTGTATGTTCGTGATAGAAACAAAGACTACTCGACGGATTTTAACGAAACATGGTACAGTTCTTCTTCATATTCCTGGGCAGGTTATAGTATACTTTTCATCACGCTAAGATCAATAGGAGCAAAGCAGTGAAGGGAAATGTTGGGAAAACGGGAGAAGTTACACCATTTTTAAGATTCCGTCGCGTCTGCAGCCTTAATGGCCACTTTTTAAAATGTAAAAATGTCCACCCGTGCGACGCCGGGACGGGCCGCTAGTTATATAATAAATCATTAGTGGCTAAAATATAATATATTATAAATAGACAATTTAGATTCTACATTATATAGGTATTAACAAACGCACATATGTGATAAATTATTATGTTACAGAAGAGTAATGAGTATAAAACATTCACAAATAAATAATTTGTTGAAAAGACAACGTTAACCGTTATAGGTCACTACAATTTGTTTTTATTTTCCCGTCACTTCTAAGTAATCTATAGTAAAGAAGTACAAGCATAATAATCAACAACAACTTAAAAATAGCGACGTGAATCTCGCTCCGTAGAGCTGATTTTTTTGCAGATAGAGATGCTGAAAATTTTTTTCATGTTTACAGTTGAAGAGCCAATTTCACATTTCTCGCATCTGTTAATAATTTGAAAGCTTATCGAATTATGTTCTATATTCGTTTGATTTTTAATATATTGTCGTTTCTCAATATTGAATTGTATACGAATTAATAAAAGTATAAAATTGAATGAAAACGTAATGTTATCTACTATATTTTATTAGTCACGTACTTTTTATACAAGATATTTTATTTTATTTTAGTGCCTTAACGTCTCAATTATAAATATAAATATACCAAACATGTATATACATGTTTTCTATTTATCTCAATAAATGAAGTGTATCCCAATTTGGTATATAAAGTAATGCGTACAGATAGTTGAACGTGAAAGTTAGTTTGTGTATATTTTTGTGTAAACGTGTCTCCTTTTAACGGCTTATTATATCATTTGTAAGCACAATTAATATTTTAAATTGATAAATAAATATTTCCTAGTCATGAGAATAAATTTGGTAGCAACTAGAGAAGTTTGTTTTTTTTTTTTAATTTTGTACTTTTATTTCTTAGAAAAAGAAAACTGGAACATGTTTTGAAGCCATTAGAAGGTGCTGTGGACTTGGAAGATAAATATCAACAAAAATTATTTTCTTACGAAGAACTGAAAATGAAAGAAGAAAGGGAAATTGCTGATGTGAGATATTATAGTAAATTTCCTTCGCACTAGTAGGTATTTATGAAATATGATTATGTTTAGAGTTTTCTGTATAATATAATCATATTATAAATTTTATTATTATTATATTAAGCATTATATAAAAAAATTAATATTGTGGAGTATTTAATATTTTAATTAACATACTTGATACTCTATATAATGATTCGCGTGGAAACGCCACGGGAAACAAATAACAATTTTATTATAATAAAACGAAACAATAAGTACCCGCAAGTAAGGCTCGTATAATATATATACATATATCAAAATATATACATGTATTATTTGAGAGGAAGAAGGACATAGACTACTTTCATCTTTATTAATTATCAGATACTGGTCACACGTATAAAAACTAACCACCTTGTTCATAAAAACGTCAAATCTCTCAAACCTATTTTAGCTATTGAAATGTTTTGTTTCTTTCTTTTAAACCGAATTCCGAATTTGAGAGAAAATGACAAAACAAAGTGACAAAAGTATAATAGTTTTTTTTTTAATGGAATGGTAGCCGCACCTACGCTATCAGTATACGCTAGCGGGGCACGAGTGAGGGATAATAGGTGACAATGAAAACAGGTCAATTAGCCTATCATGACGAATTCCACTATAATTAACAACAATGGTTTCCAGGGAAATCGTGTGGAGGTCGAACTGATAGGGTGTATTGCTAACAATGGGCTAAAAATGGTCCCTATTACTAACAATCCCTTTCCCCCGCTCATGTGGATGGTTCCTCCTCCAACCACTAAAGTGTATAAGTTGAAGTAAATTTTTAGGTTTTAGTTTTTATGAATAAGGGGGTAAGTGTATAAACGAGTATTGTGTAAATTTAAGATGAAATAAATGGAATGAGAATATTTTCTGCTATAGATAAAGTCTAAAATGCGTGCAGTGGAAATACAGTACGAGGACAGATTGCGAATTGCGGAAAAGAAATTCGATGATCTTCAGCATTTGGAAAGGTCCACTGGTACTGGACTTATTTATTCAAAAAAAGGGAAGCCGATTACTGATAAGGTAGATCTGAGATATTTTAAAGTATGCAGCAGCTTATTTCTTGTAATTATATTTTTGTGTACATATTCTTATGTACACAAAAAACAGACGTGTCAGATATGTATGTATGTATGTATATTTTTATGTAACTGTATTTTTATTAAAAGAGATCAATAAAATATTTTCGTCCATTTAAACATAGTTATCACACTCGAAGTCCATCAAATAATTGTTTGTTTGAAAAAAAGATTTCTATATGGCATATGGATTTTTTTTTATTGTATGTGTATTTGTTACGGCATATTTATTAATAAGGTTAAGTACCTCGTAAGTTGTTGGTCTCGTATAAGTTAACAAAAATGAATAGACGTTTTTTGTGGAAAAGTTTTAAGCAATTAGTAGGTATTTTTCTATCATATTAGAAATTTTTGCCATTTTTTTAAATCACATCTAACATTTCATATTGGGATATCTTTATTTTTAATTATTTCTAACTTATTAATTATAAGCCTATAAGAAAGTTATTTATATAAATAATTATATTTTGTTATTTCTATACTAAAATCTCAACAAAGAAGTTACTCGATTTGATTGATGAGAATTGATGACACGTTCCATTAAAATGTTCTGAAGTTAAGTAATTAACAGTAGTACTTTTTAAAATTACTAATTTTATACATAGCTGTGTTTGTTTTCTCGTCAAAATTTTATCTTATTTCTTTTAAGAATCTATATTATTGTTTATCGTTTATTATAATAACATTATTTTCTAACTTGCATATTAAAGTTCTGAAATAAAAAGGGCATTTTTTCGGCTATATTTGGTGTTTAATAGATTAGTGCTATGATATTTATTTTATATTATCACTACTTATTAAAATTACCCAGGCACTTAGTCAACAGGTTATATATATATATATATATATATATATATATATCCAAAAAATTCACCCTTCGTCCTTCCTCAATTGTGTAATATCTGTGTTTGCTTAGTTTATTGTTACGAAGAGTATAATAAAAATGAATATAAAAAATTTATAAAATATAATTAAAATATGAAAATAATATTTTCCAATAATTATTGAGTGTCAGAAAAACTAGAAGCAGGCGAGATTGAATCCGCAACTTCTACATCACGCCGGAGCCAATGCTCTTACCAGTTGAGCTACTATTTCTTTGGATGTGGATTCGACTTCTTCCCGGTTTCAAGTTTTCAGTCACTCAATAATTTTTGGAATATGATTTAAATACTTTAGTATTTTTTTGTGTAAATTTCTAAATACCTAATAAAAATATTTTACAAAAAATTAAGTTGGAAATATTGCATTGTTATAATTTTGTATTAAAATAGTAGAAAGTTCTTATGATGTGATTTTGTCAGTCACCCCGTCTGTCTATCTCAGCACTATACTCTAACAAATATTAATAATATCAACTTGATTATAAATAAACTTTGCTATATTTCTAGATAAAAGTGCAGTATATATGTATTTAAAAACATCTTTATTTAATTCATGGTAGTTTGGAAAATATAATATGTCATCACAAATGTCACATTTTGTCCAGACAGTGGAACGGTTCTTGACCCTGCAAAGACGTAAAAGCGAACAATCCTCTGCTTTATGTCTCCGATATATCAGAGTGAGAAACGCTGTCGTAGAATTAGAAGCGATTGTGAGGAAATTGGAAATGCTCGGTCCGGGACTTTACGTCGCTCACTACGAACAACTCTCCATAGATCGTCAAAATTTTATGACCAAAATCGAAGGTGAGTGTCTAACTTTTCAAAACTAGTTTTTATTATCTACAACCATTTTGTACAATTAATTAGTTATATGTATATGAAAATACAATAGCTATTGTGTTTTTATTTGAAAATAACAACCAGAGTTAGTACTTGAAATTAATATAGGCCATAACAATCCTTAATACAGTAACAAAGTTTATTACTAAATCATGGATTATTAATGATCTGAAGATAATATCTCGTATACCTAGTTTAACTATAGTCTAAGATCAAGTTATTTTTGAGTTTATGATTGTTCTCGTTATAAGACGGAATTTTATTACTTTTCTATTTCTTAGTACTACACTATATCTAATATTATAAGTATATTTCAAGTTACTGATATAAATTATTCAAAATTTTGAAAAATCTCATATCCATTAGATGCTTACGCTTTACTTGTAATTTACTGTATACGGCACGATATCGTACAATTTTATAAATACAATAATATAGACCTTTTTGATATTTAAAAAAATACACAGTTCACGCAAATGACAAATACTAGCCATCTTATGTTATTTTTATTGTTTTAATAATTCCATCTCTTATAAATTGATTGAAAAAAAGTAAAATGTTTATATTATGTGTGTATTCTTTTTTTCTGATCACATATAAAGTATAATATGTTCTTTAAAAAAGTTTTTGAATCCATCTCCATTAATTTGCATAATTTTGTTCTCATATTGTATCGTAATGATAATATCGTACTATATGTACCATGATATGGTATTCGTAAATTATTAAAGCACCCCATTACATAAACAATATCGCTGCTGGCAAACCGTAATCCGCCCCATGAATAATTCCTATCTTTATTGAATTTCCTACACAAACAAGGATCTGACGTTTAATAACGATGTATTTATTTTCGTGGATTGTTTTAGGAGCAAAGTCAATAAACCCAATGTTACAATATTATTATTAGACGTATACCTACGAATGTTCGATGAAACACGACTTGTACAGTCGTTTATGGAGTTTTTATATTGCAGATATCTGCACCGTTATATTTTTTATATAAATCGATACCATCTAAATAAAGTACCAAGACATTTCACATCGTATTAGAATAACCTATAGGGCGACAAATCCCTATATATAAATATGTGGAAGTTACAAATATTTCTTTTCCTAATTGAAAAATCACATCATCATCAAATTAGCAAGAGTATTAATAATATCCACAGTATTACAGTATGTTGAAATACAATGTGTCAACCGTTACTTATTTATTTATTAATACATACATGGTGGATTTAATGCTAAAATCCTTCTCTCCACAGTCAACCTTAGGGAAGTGTCAGAATATTCGAATAGGGTACTGATAATAATTGCTATACATACATACTAAAATTTTTATATATAAACAAATATATACAGGTACATAGCAAATACACTTACACATATAAGATAAAAAAATTTGATATTAAACTAGTACGGTGAGAGAAAATAGATAGAAAATAACACAGGAACGTATGTTACGATCGTGAGTTTAAAAAACGTGCTAGAACTTGCTGCTTAAGTAGGTAATTAGAAGATTGCGGGTTGCGAAGAAGAGTAGAGGGTGCAAAGAGTTCTAAGATATCGGCATTGACAAACGGGAAGCCATTTGAGCTGAGACCGATGGAGAGAAATGTATTCTAATATACTGTAATATTATTATATTTAATTTTATTGCAGTATGTTGTTTATTTTATTTAATTATTTTAAATATTTATATATTTTATTTAAAATATTTTAATATTTGGTCTTACCACAACAATAATTTAATACGTAGTCTATTTAAATAAAATTTAACGAAACTCTAAATGATCAATTATTATTCAGTTAGCGTAATAATGTTTATTTATAAATTTCAAGACTAAAATCTATAAATTATTGTAATAAAATATATAATTATATTTTTTATAAGATAGACATAAACAGATGATGGACTCGGTTTTTAGTAAGATATTTAAACATGTATCGAATGCTAGTCTATTGCATGTTTAACTCTTGTGGCAAGAGGATTAGTTTTAATGGGCGATTCATACCACAGTCTAAATGCCAAAGACCCCAGGGTATTGTTTACAGTCGGACAAACTATATTCACTGCCTGTGATTTTATTGCCTGAGGCCTAAAACAAGTAATACACAGGCTTAGAGATTAGGAATTCTTCAAAAAGAGCTTATAGTAAGATTGGCAACCCGCACTCAACGCCTCGAGCGCTGTTACGTCCATAAAAATAAAATAGGACGTCGAAAATGTGTTTTTTTATCATCATTGTAGCATAAAATATAAAACTAAATAAATTACTGTTTTCCTTTCAGAGCGTGAAGACGAATTGATAAAGAATCGTGTAAAATGTACAGAGCATAATCAAATCTTGGCTCATATAAGGGAAAAAATGAATCACACGGATGAAGTAATTGATACCACTGAATGTGATCTCGGTGATGCCGAAATAGAGTTTCTAAGAGCTAGAGAAGACCTTGCACAAGTGAAGGTAATATTTCTTTTTTATATTTCGGATAAGTAGCTAATCATCGTCTTTTATTTTATATATATATATATATATATATATATATATATATATATATATATATATATATATATATATATATATATATATATATATATATATATATATTAGTTGTTATTTTTTTGCCTATTCCTATAATGAAGTACCGCTTTCGTGATTCACTGTTCATCCGATAGAGTGAGTGATAGAGAATGCTACTATTTTTTTTATGGATGATAGATATTGATATACACCGGCGGCACACCAGTGAAGGATGATAGGTGAAGATGAAGTACGAGTGACGAATTCAACAAAAATTGTTCACGATGGTTTCCAATGGGAACCACTTGGAAGTCAACCTAATAAGGCATATTGCTAGCAATGGGGCTGTCAAACTCCATTGCTAACAATCCCATTCCCCCTACTACTAGTATTAAGTCCGCCTCTTATTCCATATTTTATTTTTGCCCTTCTATTTCCAAAGGAAAAATAAATTGTTACTTCTGATTATCCTTACTAATCACATATTAGTAAGGATATTTAGAAGGTGAAAAATACATATAACTGCTAGTTGTAAGCATTATTATTATTAAAAAAAATTATAATGATAGCCAAATATGACAATTTATGATGAATTCATGAATAAATAAATGAAGTTAATAACTTTCCCCAAGGTGTTATTTAATATTATTTATTTGTGGCAATACCAACACAATATGCAATAAATAATAATAAAATTTTAATACAGTAATAGTGGATAGAACTAACTTTTCTTACACATAGATGTATAATATACTTTGTATTCTTAGATAGGCTATACATTGTGTATGCATTTGAAATTAGATATACAGGATCTCCCTTTAACAGATTTCATTTCACTTGATGGACACACGATATATCCTTTCCATTTACGTTGGGAAATGGATGAGGGTCCCAAAGTTGTCAGGGGACCGGTACTATGGCAATGTGTCAGATTGTTTCACTTCCTTAAATTAGGATCAATCGCTCAATGTATTTATTCAATATTAACGACCCACCACACCGTTTTATTTTTTATATAGGTAACCCATGTTACTCGCTAACAATGTATTAGCTTTATGTTTGTTATTTGACGCTCTAAAATGTACAATAAAGACGAAAGATTTATTTGTAATCGATAAACGCAAAAACTATTTTATTCATTTCAAACATTTTTCATCTATAGAAACCTACATTATCAGCGGCTATATTCTTTTCAAAAGTTCCATCTACCTATGTGAAGTCGGAGCAGTAATCAATAATACCTTTATATTTTTATATACGAGTACATATGTAGATATTAGAAGATGATTATAAATATAATTTATTACTGAAAAATAAATATAAAATAAAAAAGTATGTATGAAAACAAACACTTAGATACCACTTAGCAAAGTGCAGATAGTAATGCAAGTGCAGTTGTGTGTATGTTAACGTGATACTTATCAAATTCATTAATATGAAAGCAACTAAAAGTAACACATAGTTTTTTAGCACATTGTTATGAAGTACTTACTTTATTACAATGTGCGATATACTATTCTTTACACTCCACATATTATATGATGATTATAAATACTAGTAAAAATGAGAATCGATATATATTCTACAAACAATCAACGCTTAAATAAGGTAAACCTAATTCATTATTTGACCTTAGCGTTTATTACGCAGATACATTACTATTAAAAAAAACTTATAGCTTCCTTTAAAACTAAACACATCCCAAAAACAAAAATTGAAAAATAATCACAATTTTTTTACTCACTAGTATGTTTGCCAATAAACACTGCAATTCCTTGGAATTCTTTAAGAAATAATAAAATAAAAATACTCTTTTACCTATTGTATAGAGTCATCGCGACAGACTACGTTGGTCGCTGGAGGCAGAACGAATGAAAGCGGGTCTGCTAACGAGAAAGGACCTGTTGCGTGACTTCCAGAATGCCACAGACGAGGTATAGATCGTAATTTCGTATTATTACTGATATTACAAACTGTGTAATTTATTGGCGACGTGACTTTTGCTTTAATGCATGAGCTCTGGGGTTTAAACTTCTATTTAAATTGGCTCGGTTATATACTATATTCTTCGTAAATCTATTATAGTTATCACAAGGTATTCTTTGATGTCCATGGTCTTGTTCATGTCTATAGACGACGTTTACTGCTACACATCAGGTAGGCTGTCAGCTTTTTGCTATTCTGAGTTCCATAAAAAAGTCTATAATCTCGTTTCTCTTGATCTTAGCTTTAGAACCAGTAATTGAAGTAATTTTATATACTTTTTATGTCTTTATTATTGACAGTTACGTTCACCATAATGACAACAATTGTTAAACGCTCTTGATTAACTCATTCTGTGAATAATTATATTTCACTTTCTTGTTATATGTTAAATCCACTTGTCTCATGCATACACATGGGTTTAAGAGATTTTTTATATTTTTTATTTCATTTATAATAAATCGATGCGCATCCATTTTCGTTATACTATATTTTTATTTATCATTATTATTTTATCGATAATATGGGATTACAGTGGTACTCTAGTAAATAAGTATAGTAGATTGACGTTGTGACAACTTGGGGAACTATAAATGCCATAAGCAAACGTACATATTTTATACATTTTATTAGTCTGACATTGAAGTTGTAGATGTCCGCGTACCTATTTTCTAAGTGCATATTTTCATTAAATAAAAGGTGAGTATTTCTATTTCATGTGATAATGAAATGGAATATTTTGTAAAGAAAAAGATTATTATATTATATATATTTACATAACTAATATATATATATATATATATATATATATATATATATATATATATATATATATATATATATATATATATATATATATATATATATATATATATATATATATTTTATTATATATATTAAATAAACAGGATTAGGCCACTTTTTAAGTTTTTTTTTTATATTATTTTAAACTCGTGATTTTTTTATAATGTAAGATTAATTTATAAAAAAATATATTATATTCATAAAAAAAACTTTTAGTTACATATATATAAATTAAGTAATATATAATTTCTAATTATGTAAAATTTATCTTCTTTGTAATGTTAATTTTTTTTTGTAAACTTGGCAAAAACTTGCCAAGTTTTTCTTTCGGTGGTATGCTATGCGGTCACTAAAAGCCATAAACACTTGAAATACTAATGGTTATTAGTCACGTATTATGAACAATTTATAACAATATCATTACAGGTAGGACAGTTAAGACAGAAAAAAGAATTACTGGAAGCACAAATTACTAAAACAACTGATGAACTGAGAAAGGCACGAAGACGTATGCAACTACATCGAGGGACCAATCATGAAACTTACAATAATGATTCCTAATTTAAAAACATGTTTATTAAAATATTATTGCCATTGAAATGTTTAGAGATGTACATACTCTTGCTGTCATAGTGATCCTTATAAATATTAAAAATATGTTTTATAATATAATGAAAAAGGTTTTATTTAGTTAAAAAATTAAGATTATTATTAAATTTATTATCATCATCAGCTTTTAACTATCCACTGCTTAACCTAAGCCTCCTCCTAGGGGGTTTTGCCAGTAGTTGACAGACGGGTTGGCAACCGCAGTTAGGCTCTCTTAGGCTAGGCTTTGGTGATATTCTAAGAGGGGCGCTGCTACCCATCCTTAAGTTCCTTTACTTGCCTCTGCCCTTTGCCTATACCCATGGGAAAGGAAGGGCAGTATATTCTATACCAGGACCACATGGCAATTTACAATTTTTATTATATTAATAATAAATAATTATTATAATTTTAATTATACGAGAGTACTTCAACCATAACATATCTAGCAATACCTTCAATGAACACAGATTTAAAATTATTTAAAACCCTCAAATAGTGTAACATAATTTTATTCATGCAGGAGAAAACAGGCTTGTTAGTAATGGGAATAACCAGCCTAGCTGTTTGCAAAATACCCCATTAAGTCGACTTCCCGTAGTCGCTCTTGAAAATATCGTACTTAATTCCAGCTAAATTCAATTATAAAGGGCTAACTAACCTGCCTTTATATCCTCACGTATTCATTTACCCTTCCATTTTCAGACATTAAAAAAATTACATTCATGCAGTGTTTTACAATTATCCAACACATGTAAACTGGGGCTGTATATACATATTATAATTATATATTACTATATATAATTATATATATAATTATATATATAACTATATATAATATATATAAATATATTATTTTTGGATTAATTTTGTGCAATTTATTCACTTATTAGTACTTATTTGTTCATTTATTTAATTATTTTTGATCACATAATTTAACAACTTCTGATTGCTGTAGGATATGTTCCTTGATAATAGGTCCATGTTTCCAATCTGATGGATACCCAAATTGCCTGACGTCATCCCACCACTGTTGTTTTCCATCTACCCACACACAGTACATCACATTAGTACCCACTAGCACAGCGAAACAAACCCAGAAAGCACCTCGCCATTCTGTCAATGTTGACTGTAATAAAAGAAGAATGAGATTTTAGTAAAATATTTAAACCAAATTTTAAACAAAATAACGAAAAGACTATCTAATTGTATTTATGATTTTTTGTTTAAAATCTGGTTCAGTATTAAAAATTAAGTAACTATATGCCATCATTCTCAAGAAAGTAATTATTTCGGGAATACCCATCAATTTGTACCAGAGAGGTGTGATGCGAATATATCTTTGTGGATACTTACACCATTAAAACCATCCAATGGTGTAAGTATCCACAAAGATACATTTATAGATAATAATGATAGATATAGATAATAAATAGAGATAGATAAGAAGTTTAGAGGATGCCTACACTTGTTGCGACATAACTTAAATATAAACATAGTTATCTGCTTAGATTTCAATATTTCATTTTGTTATTACCAAACAGCTGTATTTACATAGCTGTGTTTTGTATTGAAGTGATGTATTTCTGTAAACTTACATGGTAGGTAGGTATGGAGATATAATATCTTGGTCCTTAAGAATTGCAACGCATGAGGGATACCTTGGGCATCATCATTCTATAATATTAATGATGCTTGTTTATTTTTATATTCTATTAAAAAAAATATATATTATGTGCGATACGTACATTAGGTGTCATCAATCCAATAAGGAATGGTATGGTGATACCAGCGCATGTAGAAATGGTGTTTAAAAAAGAAGTTAAAGTGCCTGCGTAGTTAGGAGCAAGGTCTAATGCATTCACCTGAAATATATTATTTTTTTACTTAGTCATATACATTACCAGAATAAATTGCAATGTAATTTTTAATTTAAATTAAAAAATTAAGTTTTCTAATTTATAGTTAAATTTCGTAAGTGCACAATATATTTTAGTCCTGCATTCGTATTGCCTACCCATAATTTAATATCCCGGAAGGGCCCAAAACTAGTCGAATATACTCAATAAAAATAAGCGTGAACCAACCTGGTTATTTTTTGAACTAATTTATTGTCCTCTTCTTCTTAAATTGAAGGAAGGTTCGATATAAGTCTCTATTGAAATAGTAATCAACAGTATTCTTTACTTGAATGGAAACGGTAAGAGGCTCGTTCTTTTGAAATCTCTTGTACTTGTGTGTCCATTCGAAGTTACTTGGCCATCAATTGATTTATTTTGTACCTTAATAGACCACTATTTGTTTACAAGTTAAGCAAGAAAAACTAACAAAGTGCCTGTCAGGCACGTAAATATTAGGTAACATAATTACGCAACGTTTTCTATTAGATAGAGTGAACATCTTTTCTTTCGACTAATCTCATAAAGGTTTCATGTACCTATAGTATTTTTAAAAACTTCTTCCTTTAATGTGAAAGATCTATCTAATCATAATTACTCAGATCTGTATATAATACTATTACATATGACGTGCTATAGGTAAAAAGTCGATCTCGTATTCTGTACATTATTCCATCAACCTTAGTTATCTTCATAGCGCTCGCATTTCAACCATACTTTTAAACCTTATCAAGTGACTATGATTGCCATATTTCTTTTAATATTATATAATTACAACATATTATAAACAATATAAACTGTCAATGTCACCGGAGGAAGACTTTGTACAAAAGTCGATTGCTTGGGTACCTCTGTCCCATTCGTGTTTCAACCGTGAAGCAGTTGTGTTTGCATGGCTGTGTTTTGGTTTGAAGGATGGGATATGGCGTGATTTTTTTGGGTACAGAGGAATAACACCTGAGTCCTCAGGGATGGCAACGCATGGGGGGTATCATGGGCGAAACAGTATACTCTGTTATGTCCATGGCACTGCTCATGTCTATAGGCAACGGTTACCACTTTCCATCAGCTGGGCCGTCAGCTTGTATGCCATTCTAAGTTGTATAAAAAAAAATTCTTACCTTCATACCACTAAAATAACCTGCCATGAGTGCCATAGACAACACGAAGTAGACCATAGCGGCAGTGCGATCACATCCTGCGTATGATGCTAATATAATGCAAATAGCTGGACCCGTAGCAGCTGTAAATTATTGTGAAATTAAACTAATGCTTTTTACCAGTACACTTTTTTAATAATCTAAACTAACCTAATCCTTTACCCAAGGAGAAAAATAGAACTCTATTATAATTTCCGACTAGCGTAAATCTATAATGCAAAGATCGCCATGGCATTATCCTGTTTGAATAAAACCTGTCTCAATGGAGGAAATGGGACTATTAGTAAAATATTTATAGTCATATATTTACTGAAATGCAGGCAAGTTGTACGCCGTTTTTTTTTTTTAAAAAAAATACAAGTAATAGGTAAGTGTATCCTAGCGAGGCACCAGTGAGAGAAGATATAATATTCAGTCAATTTCGATTAGAAATGTAATGCTGGCCATCACAGATATTTTAAGTTTTATTTTGACATAATATTTAAAATTAATAAATGTATCTTGTTTCACGTTTTCAATATTATACGGATTGTTTTAGAAACAATTCCTGTGCATCTACTGTTTGTATTTTAAATACTATAATTGATAAAAAATAAAAGTCAAGAAGTCGTGTTATTCTCACATATGCAGACTAAAACCGCTAAAGATGTGTGAGTTGCCTTAAAAAGGGCATAGTTTCTTTACCAACAATTCCTAATAAAGTTCCCTACAATAGAATGACGAAAGGTTTAATGACGTATGCGACTAACACTAAAGGCTGAAGAACCATTTGATAAACGCTTGCAAAACTCGAAAGCTTGAAATCTTTAAAATTGATAACGTCAGAAAACGACTGACTGATGCGATATTAGGAGTACAAACTTATAATATACGTACCTATTGTAGTATAAATAATCCTTCCAGTCTTAACGGAATGCCATCCTTTCTTAATGCCCAAATCACACATTAAACCAAATGGTACTGAGCTAATTAACATTGCAACATAAGGTAGAGCTGTCAGTGTACCAGTGGTAGCAATATTGAATTTCAATACGTCATTAGAGTATTTTGGCAGATCTGTGACCATTATATAGTAACCCCAGTCGTGGCCGACCTGTTTATGAATATTATTGAATGTTAATTAATGAATAAACGTAATTTAGAGAATAATATTAAGAATATCTGCTCGAATTGTTTGCTTATACCACTTGGTTGTTTCTTTTCTGTCCATTGACAATTTAAGTTATAAAGAATATTGATCCATATATACATTTGTTGACTGATAATTTAAGGAAATTATTACTAACAAATGTGTTTTTTTTTATTGTCGCGTTGTTGACCGATGTTTTTTATACGCATAGCATAGTATTAAATAGAAAAAACATATATTTTAAATAATCTTAAATCGCATCACCGTTTTATAAATAACTTCAAGATAGAAATATTTAAATTTAATAAGTAAATCTTCGAGTGTTAATATCTACAATATCAGCTATAAACATATAAAATTAATAATTAATGAACTAAGTTATTAAGTATAAATGTTTCAATTCAATACAATAAAAATAAAAATAAACTTACAGCGGCACACACAAGTGCCCAGACCGGTGCTGAGCGCAATATCGCCTTCCATGGGACTGGATCCTTCACATTTTGACTCTCAGCAATGGTCACCTTAGTATTCAAGTAGTTTAACTCTTTCTTCGAAATATATGGATGCGTATTTGGGGTACTGTAGCACAGAAAGCTCTGGAATAGTGGCAATTATATTATTTAACTACCCAATTTCAGAATAATAATAAACTAAGAAACTTATATATAAATTCATAAATCGTGCAATAGTTATATAATATAAAATTACTAGCTATATCTCGCAGTTCTTCTTTATAAGATATATCTATATGGATCAATTTGAGCAGGTACTAAACTTTATTCAAATACTTTCACCCCTTAAAGCCAGGTCAAATAACAAACTTTCACATTGTTTACATATATGTACGTACCTATATAACATTATAATATATTTTGTTATTCATTTAACTATACATTATTTGCGTCTTATACGTATGTATATCGTTCTTACAGCACTCATGCTCTTTAGCTGCCTGCTAACTACATACTTTGTCACTTTATTGGGTTGGCTATAAGAGATCTCTTTCAGAGATAAGTCCCCCCCCCCTGGCTCACAATATTTATAACTGTCTTATCTATGTAATTAACAAGTACAAGTAAAGAAGAAGTAAAGAATATATTAGATATATATTCTTTATTTCTTTTTTCCTTTATTATATATCTTTATTTACTATTATTTTAACATACTATACAAATTAGTATTTAGGCCCCCAATTAATCAGAAAAATTACAAAAAAAAAGATAAAATAAATCCCTTCTTTTATATATAATATTCTAATCCTAAATATTTATTTATGTTGCTGTTAACTCTATATAAATAGAAAAATAAATTAATTAAAAATAATATTTTAAGTAAAATGATGCAACACAAAATTAGACAGGCGTTTGGCATTTTATCAACATTTCTTGAAACATCAAACTATACAGAATTTTATTTTTACTTACCCACAATATAAACCATACAATTCCAAAACCGCCGAAAAAATAGAATACATAAGCCCAATCTCTACCATCAGCTAGCAAAATACCAGACATGAAAGAACCGAAAATATTTCCAATTTGGGCTCCACCGAAGACGAGAGCTACATGGATAGACCTTTCATGAGGAGGTATCCATCGAGCTAACATTAACATTAGACCCGGCATAGTTGGACCCTACAAAAAACCGGTCTGTTTAAAACCATTTTAAAAAAAGCATTTATAGCCTTAAGGCTTCATTATTAATTTCTCAGCATCACACATTTATATTGTTTGTGAAAATAAATCAAACAAACTCAAATATAATAGATTTATCCTGCCACCTTCCGCCTTCGTCATCAGACCAACTCTAATACACTATAACCTTAATAATATATTGGCACAGAATTTAGGTAAATATTTCAAACTTCAGTCTAATCAGACGTCAATAAGTAGATAAAAATGAGCAAAGTTAAGCTAAAATAAATTGAATAAAAGCTTGTAAAAATATCAAGCAACATTTTTAATTCCAATATTGCTGGTTCATTAAATTCACGTTGTGCAGTTATATATAAATATTCGTAATAATTCAGTTTTGGGATGTGAGAATGATTTCCTGTCAATGGTGGTGGTATATAAAGACATTATGTTAAACTATTCAGCCGAATACAATCCATTATATAAGTGGTAGAATACACAAAGGAAGGCAAAATCTCGCCTTAGACTTAGAGGCTTGAAACTGCTTGTCAGCATAGAATCGAAAACCTTTGAACCAATACAAACGGATCAAGCGGGTATCAATGCTGAGCCAGGCTTGCGGCTTATATAATAGTAGGTCTTTGTTCTTTGCTAAAATATCAATATTCAAAACCAAACAATACTTATTGTAACTATTACAATAATGTGCATTATATTTACCTTTTAAATCATATTTTATTAGTGTATAAAATTGAAATATATGAATATTTTTTTCTCTATATTGAATGAGAATTCCTCATAAAACCAATTTATAAAACTAACTTTTCTAAATTAGCTCATATCAGGGTATTCCGAGTGATGCCCCGAGCATTGAATGGTTTCTCACAATGCAGCGTATCCAATTTCCAGCACTAGGTAATACTAATATTTATTTTTTATTAATGTTATAATGAATTTGGTTTTTTTTTTTGTGACAGAAAATTTTAAATTATTACCTCTCCCATTCCTTGTAAAACTCGAAGCACAAACAGCCATGTTGCACCACCTATCTTCACCACTATGGGAGTCAGGAAAGTGAATAAAGCTGTACTCAATAATCCTACTCCTAGAATCCATTTACCTCCAAATCTCTCAGCTAAGTAACCACCAGGCACTTGAGTGACTGCGTATCCATAGTAAAAACCACTTAATATAAGACCCTGAGTTGACTGATCCCAATCAAAAATTGCGTACTGAAATAATAAAAAAGTCAATAACCTTTTTATTGTATTATCACCTAATTAATAAAATATATTTTTTTCATCAAGGAGTAAATAATAATTATATATATATATATATATATATATATATATATATATATATATATATATATATATATATATATATGGAATGTTTAGTTATGACGTAAAAATTCTAAGTATTTAACCTAAACTTCAGTATTTAAAGAACAATATTTAGTTATTTACTTATAATATTTACTTATTTATTAATTATTTATTTATTTAATCGATTATTTATATTGTTTGGAAACAATTGGCTTAAAATCAAAATTAGAACTAAAAAACTTTAGTAAATTAATTTAATTAATTTTAGTAAAATGCATAGGTAACATTATTAGCTTACCGGTTTTTCCGTAATAGTTGTCGTAACATTATTTATTATCTCGTCACTAGGACAAGCGTTTTCATCGATATAATCTTTAGAAGTTTGGTTAAATCGTACCATCTGAGTTATAGCTAAATTAAGACACACTCGCATTGTATACGCATTGCAGACTCCCAGCAACCCTATTATACTTAAAATATATCGTTGAGGAATGAAACAACCTATAAGTTAAAATGAAACATAAACATCATCTGTAATTGTAATATGTATATTACATTATATGTTAGTTTATACTTAATCAATAAATTTTAATGTAGTTATACATATTCGAAATTTAGTTCTTGCCACACATTCTTGCCAAACATAACAATACGTTTAGGTTTTATTTTTTTTATTTTTTTACAACTTAGAATGGCAAACAAGCTGACGGTCCGCCTGATGGAAAGTGGTAACCGTCGCTTATAAACATAAGCAGTATAAGCAATACCATGGACATAACACAGTATACTGTTTCGCCCATGATACCCCTCATGCGTTGCCATTCCTGAGAACTCAGGTGTTATTCCTCTGTACCCAGTAAATTCACGCCATACCCCACCCTTCAAACCGAAACACAGCCATGCAAACACAACTGCTTCACAATTGAAACTCTAATAGGACAGAGGTACCCAAGCAATCGACTTTTATACAAAATCTCCCTCAGGTTTAATTATTCAAAGAAACTGTCTTTTGAATATAATAGACTTAAACATAAACTTTAAAATCTTTAAATAGTAATGTTACCATGTTATCATTGAAATAGCAATATAATATACAGGTAATAGTAATGATACAGAATAAATATAAGTACGAGATAACTTCCCTGAGGCCTCTCATTGAGCATTACAATTTATCTGCACAGCATTTATTATGATAAGAAATATTCATTCGCTTACTTGGAAATATTTAAATCATTCTACTCTAAAGATAAAGATAATTAATGGTTTGTTAAATCTATGCGACTACAATATTAATGGCTATTGTAAAATGTTACTATAATAAAAATAAAATTCATTACGAAGTACTCGAGATAGTCACCCGATAATAGTTGTATCCTATTTCGTTCGTTATTAGAAAAAACCTACACTATTTTCGTCATATTAATTTGTGCATACCCGTAAATTTATCATAACATTTTTTCTTCTATTTTCTACTATATGATCCTTTTCCTTTTAAAGTGTATTGTAAGTATAAACATTCTGGATAATTTATAATCGTATTGACTTACTGTCAATATACTTTCAAATTTATTTATTTATTTATTATAAAAATAAATTAAGCAACTTTAATATTCTTTTGATACCGAAATATACTCATTGTATATTTTACAGGTCTTTACGACAATTTTATTTAGTCAAATTTAGTCAAAATAAATGAATACGGGTTAATACTTACATGATTGTAGAATTCTAAAGCATACATTATTATTGTTATTATTTATTTTTTCAGAAGTTACAGCTTTTTCTTCTTCGAGAAGTTTTTGTACTGGCGCAGGTGGTTCACCATTTTCCATTTTTATAATAACTTTAATGTTTTGAATACTGCGTTTTTGAATTTACTAATATTTGTCTGAAAAGTGATATGTTAATTTCATCTAAAACAAGTATAAGAATAAATTTGCATGCTCATTATTTTTAGTATAGATTATTATTAATAAACATACTAAATTGCAACTAATTTACTTGCCTTTTTCAGTTACGTAAGTGAAAAGTGCCGACTTCTATATATTAACTTCAATCGGAAAAAATAATAATATAATTTAAAATGAATAATAGAATAAGCAAAATGAAGCCATAAAAAATAATATTTTATTTTAAACCATGTATTAATACTGTAGAAAGAGGTTTAAAAACTGGAATAGTAAATTTTATTATTTTAATTACCCTCCAGTATAAGTAACCGAAATATTTTTTTTTTTTGTAAAATAAATATTTATAAATTGGTACTTACCTACCTTTAATACAAAGCTCATAGACTATTGCCGCTTCTTCCAAATTTTATAAATATTTAGTTTTCTTTTCCTTTTTCTAATTATTAGTGGATAATATTAGTACTAGTTTTCATATTAGTAGATCTTTAACTTCACTTTCTCGGTAATTATCATCACTATTTAATTTAGAATTGTGAGTTTAGACTATAACCTAATTCCTTGTAACTATTCTGAGTAAAATAAATAAATTATTTGCCAAACATAATAGTTACAAAATTTTGATCAAAAAAGAGATTTTGACTTAAAATTTATGCAGCAATTTTTTTCTAACCGACAAACAGTCTTTTCCTCTTTCAACTATAAATAAGTCTATAAATATAATGACATCATTTCACATGTAATATTTGCATAATATTTTTACTATTTAATTTGTCTTATTTGTTTAGAGATACAGATATTTTATTAACATTGAAATTATCGCATTTTGATTAAATATTTTCTTATACCATATATAAATTATCGTTTATCTAACCATTGCCTCTATATGCAAACAAGCAATTTTAGTTTATACAAGTTGATTTAAATCATATTTTAATAAAAAGAGCTGTAGTAATAACTAAAAATAACATCATATATAAAATTCCTTAAATCAAATGAAAATAATTAATCTAATAAGAAATTAATACATTTCGTAACATACAACTTAATTCAGAATAAATAGTACTGAAATTTAATTAACACTACAATATTAGTACATTTTGATTATTAACCCTATTAATGATTACATTATAAATCATCCTGTAGTGATACGCAAGCGAGTTGGTTAAACACAAATTTATTCATTGAAAGAATAAATAGAACAAATTATTACAAATTATTAGTGGCCAGTACGTGAACATAATATACTACACATCCTATATAGGTATTTATTTTTATATTAATGGCATTTGAATTATAATCTGAGTAATTTAAATAATTTCGAGAACGAATGATAAAAATTTATATGAAGTATTAATACATGACATGATTAGATCTTCGAGTAATTAGTAATTTAAAAATTAGGTTTAAATTTCCACTATGCATCATATTTAAAGTGATTCAGTAAAAATAAACTGGATAATATAAAAAAGTGGAAATGGTAAGATGGATCCGAAGACTCCTTCATAAAAAATAAATCAGTTTTGACAGCGGCCTTTTCCGTGTTACTTTGTTTGAGATTTATGATACATTAAATAAATATATATATAGATAATTTATCTATCATAAATGTCTCATACTACTTTGTCTTCTTTATACTGAAAGATAGTCGAACTCAGTTAAATTCTTTGATTTTCCGCTTTCTAAAGTAAGTGTTATCATTTGTATATATCGAGCTTCTTATACATTAATTTCTTTTTGCTAGAAACCAGTGCCCTGTATATACATACTCTGAAATTTTAGTTTTGTATCTCTCATTACTAGAGAAAGATAGACCTTTCTCTCTTCATTACTCGTCAAACAACTTTAAACGATTAAATTAGTTCAATATTCTAAATCACTGAAACCTAAGGAAAGTCACGTATTTTGCACTAATCGCAGAGGGATAAAGCCTCATATTCCATTTCATTTGAAAGTGTACGCTTTATTTACAAAAATGAGTAAAACTGTGGAGGAAGGATAATTGTGAACTTGTTGTGATGAAGTCTAGAAAAAGCAGTACTTTATAATGAAATTAAAACTAGATCTATCAACGTTCTGCTTTGAAATTCTATATTTAAAACACTGCCTGATGGAAATATTAACTCTTAGAGTTCATGAGTACTGTACTGTTTTTTATATAGGTGATCATATTTTTTTATATCATTACGGTTACAAACAAGCGCACGGCAAGTCTGATGATGGGCATTTATCACAGTGTATAATCATAAATCGTAAACCTACAATATCGTGAGATGACTATTTTTTTATAAAACTTAGAATGGCAAACAAGCTGACGGCCCACCTGATAGAAAGTAGTAACAGTCGCCTAAAGACATGAGCAGTAACATGGACATAACAGAGTATACTGTTTTGCCCATGATACCCCCATGCGTTGCTATTCCTGAGAACTCAGGTGTTATTATTTCTCCGTACCCAGTAAATTCACGCCATACCCCACCCTTCAAACCGAAACACAGCCATGCAAACACAACTGCTTTACGGTTGAAACACGAATGGGACAGAGGTACCCAAGGAATCGACTTTTGTACAAAGTCTCCCTCTGGTGACATGTGGGCATTGTCGACCCTTGATAAGCAGTAATTAGCTCTTTATGAAGAGCTCCATACCACAGTCTCTATTTTTTTATAAATTTCGTTAAAAATAAAATGATACCAATTTTTACGTGTCATATCTTATTATCTATATGAAGTACATACTTTGAGTAAGTGTGCATTGAATTTTATATCATGGCTAAATCAGCAGTATATCAGCAGGAAAACAATAAAATATTATTTACCCTCATCTCTAAATAGCATAAAACGTCGCTTTTCTCGTGTGTCTAATTCTCATCTTATTTCTTCTGTATCACATAACAGATCATGGCGCACTGTCTTTTAAAAACAAGGACAGTTATTATTACACAATATTGAGAAACCAACAATAATTAAATTTCAGTATATTTTATTATTTATTATATTTTTATTATATATTATTTAATAGTGAAATATTAAAATTAGTCCATGTTATTATAAAATATATAATAAGTATGTTATTATTAATAAATTAGGTAGGTGTTTCAAATGTCAACATGTCCCATGGATCAATATTAATCCTGCTTAATTAGGTTTCATGAAAATTTCCGCTTCATTACGTTTTATATTCTTAACCTTACCTTTTCCTGATGTTCGTTTTAAATTATAATATTATTTCTTTATCAAAATAGAAGACTCCTATTTTCATCATGTCTATCTATTTTATTTCAGTCAGTATGTTGTAATATCGTATACAAAAAGATGTCTCCTGCAAACACAGTAATATTATTTTGAAAATTGTGTGTTAAACACATGTAAAGCAGTAATTTATGACTGAAACAACAGAAACTGTTGTAGGAAAAAATAAAATAAAGTTATATTTCAGAAGAATTTTATTTTATTCTTTGCTATGGTATTTATACAATTTTTATATATATAAGTTGCATACTTATGGATTGAATTGATTATTTATCGAACAATAAGTATCATATAAATGGTTGTAAATAATAACAAATATCTACTTAGTTTTACCAATATTATTTATTCAATTTTAACCTGTTTAGATAAACAAATAGTCTCAAATGTGAGCTCCTTATTTATACATATTGAATATAATGGCAACTGCCAAAATTAAAAAAAAAATTAAAAATCTTTTTAAATAACTTAACAACTGATATGTCTTTTATTAAAGTAGATAGGTATAACTCGATACCCTCTCTCTCTTTCTATAATATTGCACATTCATTAGCACCTTAGCTCAAAGATGTCTGTACCCATAGAAAGAGAATGCCAGTATTATTGTAATCTATATCCATTCCGGTCATAAATTATGTAGTACTCATAAGTACCGGTAGGGTTTCCGATGATAAGAGCCTAACATTGTCATTATATAAAAGTAAAAAGGTCAGTTTGGGTAGCCGACAGGTACATTTTTATTATTTTGTAAATATGTAACTAAAATAATATTTAATATAAAACATAAGTAAATATAAATGTCAATATAACTTATTACTATATTCGCTATCTAATTATATTTAAATTCTAAGAACGAAAAGGATATAATAAATAACATAATCCTTTCGTTTCGTAATCATTCATTTCAAAGATCATTTTCATATTTGAATATAAGCTATTACTCATGTAATTATCTCCAATCTTACTTCTTACTAATAAATTTATAACTGGTTAATGCTTGTACGTGGAAAATAATTAAGAAAAAAATATCTGAGGGGTTTCAATAGGAGCAATAGAAGCTATGACCATATTTTTTAGAAATTTTATTTGTCTGTCTGTCTGTATGTTTGTTCCCACATCATGCAAAAAGTATTGTGCCAAATTGAATGCGGTTTTCACAGTTGTATTTCTGAAGGTCTATATTAAAACTGGTGTATGTACTATCTTGATACGTAATATAAATGTGGATTATTTCACTGGTTCTCCTACTTTTGAAATTTACGCATTCGAAATAGCAGACAAAAATCTAATTTATTATAAAAACATGACTAAGACTTTTATAATAAAAAAGGTTATAAATTAATAGAATTTAAAAATGTAAATGTACTTTAAATTGTTGGCATTCTTAAAATTTACAATAGAATACTTATTTTAAGATCTGTTACAATATTTGTATTATTGTATTATTATTATTTTTCAATATAATCTAAAAATGTCATCAAAATATTTGTTTCAAACTTTGTACTTTTACATTTATAATAAAATACATACATTAATTGTATTAAATTTCATTTAAACACATTTAAACTTATAATAGCATTATATGCACGAGAAATAGATTCTTACGTGAACACATTATTATTATTTTTTCTATTATTATTTATAAAATTAATGATAATTTGAAATAATTACCATTACAATAATATAAATGTTTTATGAGTATATACAAAAACTAGTAAACCTCCTTCGGATCAGCCAACCTAATGGATTCTGGTTGCTTCGGAATATTTTCCTTGATAAGAGGTCCATGCTTCCAACCAGGCGGGTATCCGAACTGTCTGACGTCATCCCACCACTGTTGCTTGCCATCTGCCCAGATGCAGTATACCACATTGGTGCCCACTAGTACAGCGAAACAAACCCAGAAAGCACCACGCCATTCTACTAGGGTTGACTGTAATAATAATATAATTTTTAAATTAGTTTAATATTTCTATATTTATTAAAAAATATCAAATATCCTATTAATATATAATTGTTATATACGATTTTGTATATGTTATTTGTCTATTAAACTAAATTCGTAATTGGATAGGAGCTAAGAAACTTTACTGTTTAAGAGGTTTATTCGAAGTTTTGCATGTTTTATGAATATAGTCTAATTGACTATATTCATAAAACATGCAAAACTCTCTCAAAAAAGGTCAACTGTCTGCTGTACTATTAAAGTGCATTGCAGATAACATTTTAAAGATAGATCCTTTACGGGGTAGACAGCTGATCATATATGTAATAATAATAATAGAAGCATATAAAAATATAGTTCTATCATGTTATTTTAGAATATAATAGAATTTATTTCATTTTCAACAGACATTCAATTCAGCCACTTAAAAACAGACTGGCATTTAAGTGAAATAATATTATGCTTAGTGTCGTAGCATGAGGTCATAACCGTAAGGGAAATAAATGGCTTTAAGGGTAATATGGTAGTTAAAACACGCAACTCTGCAATTATTCATTACGTATGTCCACAATATTATTTTTTATGTTTTATTTTCTTTTTAACTGATATTGTTTTGAGATGATACACATAGTTCAAAATATCTACGTAGTTATTTCATATAACCTAGTACAGCAAACAAGCTGATGGCCACTTAATAATAACTTAATATTGCATTTCACAAAAAGCCTACTTCAAATGTAGCTAAACCATCTATTTTGATTTAAAAATTAAATTGCTGAACCGATTTTGACATAATTTCTATGAAACCAATCTATATCTAAGTATATCGTTTCAGATAAACAAAAAAATTTCCAGATCGGTTTATAACTGACCGAGTTATTAAGTAACAAACAAAAAACAATACGACCGAATTGCAAGACTCTTTTTTGAAGTGGGTTAATCAGTGAAACATCGCCGAAACATCACAGAATATACTAAAATACATATATCCCATTTCTGAGTGTACCTTTTTACATCTTTTTATTATATTAATGTATTACTTAAAGGTAACTTTTTCATTATTTGTTTTTCTGAGCCCGCAATACAAAGCATTTTTTTTAAAATTGATGACTCACATTAGGTGTCATTAACCCTATAAGATAAGGTGTCACTATGCCAGCAAACGTAGAAGTGGTGTTAACGAGGGAAGTTAATGTGCCCGCGTAGTTAGGAGCCAAATCCAATGCGTTTACCTGAAAAAAAAATTATTTATGCTTCAATGTGATAAAGAACTTGTAATTTTTGTGTGTTTTACATAATTATATATATGATAATGATGCCTTTTGCATACAACGTTTTCTTGAGACACATTTAAAGTCGTTACTATGTTAAATTAAAGTGCATTTTACATTAGGTTTACATGTATACATATATATCTCTGCTTATATTGGACATGAGTAGCATTGTATAATATATCTAAAGCTTGTTTTATTTTTTATATAAGTAGATGTGATATTTCTAAAATCTCACAGATTTTTGAATGATTTTTAAGTGTTGATGTATTTAAGTTCGTAATATTTGTTCGTTACCTTATAGCGTCTTAACTAATCACTATTAAATTTAGTATACCATAGAAAACGTAAAACTTTTTATTCCGGTCAATAAACAGTCAGCTAGTTAATAATAGTTTAACTCATTTATTTCGACGTTACATGACTATTTTCGGACTAGATAGGAACCCTCATTATTTGCATTTTAATTTACCCGTAATATGACTTACGATAGTTGTTATTCGATATTTGAGGTCATCATTCTTACTTAGTGTAGTGGGAGGATTGCCGTAAATGTATTTACTTGGTAGAGTTTTGCTGTTTATGAACGTACGAAATCGCCAGTTGATCTTGAAAAAGGTTCTTAAATAGTGGACAGTATGATTGATAGAACCATCATTCTACCATGAATTTATACAGTATTTTTATTAGATAAATAAATTGTATTACTACTCTAAACCAAAATATATGAGTTTATTATTATTTATAGCAAAATAATCATCATCATCATGTCAGCCTTTAACTGTCCACTGCTGAACATAAGCCTCCCCCTTGGAGGGTTTTACCAGTAGTTGTCGTGCTTGGTAGATGGATTGACAAACGCAGTTAGGCTTTGGAGATGTTTTAAGAGGGACACTGCTGCCCATCCCTCGCTCTCCATTAGTCTCGCTCTCTCTTAGTAGTACGACACCCACGGGAAAGGAAAGGGTGGCCTGTTCTATGCCGGGACCATATGGCAAACAGCAAAATGAAATACATAAATTGAAGATTATGTAGAACTAAAAATTATGTGGAGCCTTCATATGATTTTTGGTTGTACATAATATTTGAGAATACTTACTTTCATACCGCTATAGAATCCTCCCATAAGTGCCATGGATAGCACGAAGTACACCATAGCAGCAGTGCGATCACATCCCGCGTACGATGCTAGGATAATGCAAATCGCTGGACCCGTAGCGGCTGTAAATAATTATTTGGATAGAATGAAAGATTTAACTTTAAAACAAATTAATGCTAGAAGTAATAATAAGATAAAACAAAAAATAGAATCATAACAAAAAATTATATTTATAAATCCTAGTAAAGGTTTATTTGAAAAAAAAAATTAATTGCAGACCAAAGTGAGTATTCTTTATTTCTTTCTTTATTGTACACTAGTTATAAGAATATGACAGAGGTAATCAAAAGTACAAAGGCGAGCTTAACTCTGATAGAGTTTTCTTCCAGCAAACCTAAAGTGGAAAGGAGCATCAATGTCAGCGGATACAGCAGTATACAATATTGTGACGATTTTTAAACATAAAATTAAATTAGTGTTTTATATTTTTCTTTTGTGCAGTATTTTATCTCAATTATAAAGAAACTTATATTTGTGTTTTGTTTACTTTAACTTATATTACAATATTTTGTATTCATTTTATATGTTTGTTACTTCATAACTCCGTCAGTTGTAAACCAATTTAGATTTATTTTCATCTAAAAGGATATACTTACAGATTTATACTATAGAAATTTTATTAAGAACAGTGTAGTAAGTAGTTTAGTTAAAAATAATAAAATAACTGGTTTTGCCACAAATGAAGTCGGTGTTTTATTGAACACAATCTTAATTACTAATAAAATACAATCTATGTTATTTGCTGATAACATAGCTTTCTATAGATAATACAAAACTTTTAAAGTCGGTTAAGTATTCTTTGAGTGTATCTATATAAACAAAACAATATATATATATATATATATATATATATATATATATATATATATATATATATATATATATATATATATAATATTGTTTTGTGTGGTAATTTGATTTGATTTTTCGTTTAATATTAATTTAGACAATTATCCTAATAATTATTCATTTTAATGATAATCTATTATAATTTATATTAGTATATAATTATTTACATTTGCTTAACATCTCTACCTGATAGCTGCATACTTTTACTACTAAAAGTACCTAACACTAAGCACGTACGACTAACCAGATTATCATTTGCATTTTATGAAGGTTAAAAGTGTCATTGATAAACATTGTTTTAAATGCATTGTAGAAACTTTAATATTATGTGTGTACGTATTCAAAATATTTTCGTAAATTTATATAATTTTTAAAAGGTTATTTTAGTAGAAATAAGTTTCTAATTTATTTTTACGCCTAATAAAAATTTTTTAATGGACTTCAATAGTCATAGGCTGCATTTTAAAAATCTAGAAATCGACCAATGAAATATCTATTGTTTTCAACTAATTGAAAAAAAAAGCGTAATCAATTGTATTTATTGTCTGTAAATATGTTACGCGACATTTTCGCCAATTGATAACGATTTTTATGATTATTTACCAAACACTTTCTTATTTGTCTCCTATTATTTTTATTATAATTGAAGTAGATTTGTAAACAAAATTTTAATGTGATGTATTATTTTCTTTATCGACTTCGATAAATAAATAATTTGCTACTATTTTCCTGTAGTTTTGAGAACAGTTTCATGACGTAGATGGGGTGATAACCTATTGGCCTTTTGTTCGTTGAATTTGTAATCGTGTGATAATGAACTCAATTTGAAATTATCACAAAAAACTAATGTACTAATTGACTATAAAATAGATGATTCCTGTAATTTCATTCGTGCATAACTCGTAATCTCCTTCTATCAGCATTTTTTATTATAAAAATTTTGTACTCGCATATGTCCAACTTTTGAGTTATGAGAGGCTTATATTTTTTGTGAACACACTCCTTTGGAAAAAATGTTTAGCTTTGCTAATTATTTTGATTTCAATCTATATAAATAACCTTTGTGCAAAATTTACTGTTACAAAATTTTTTGTACTAGATAAGCTTTAATATGGTAATAATTCGATTTAATATTGGAAAAAGGAAACTAGAAATATACCCACCTATTGTAGTGTGAATAATTCTACCAGTCTTGATTGTATGCCATCCTTTCTTGATGCAGACGTCACATACCAAGCCGAACAGGAATGAACAAACCCACATAGCAATATATGGCAGAGCCGTCAGTGTACCAGTGGTCGCAATGTTGTACTTGAGCACATCGTGGGAGTACTTTGGAAGATCCGTCACCATTGTGTAGTAGCCCCAATCATGACCGACCTGTGTATTTCAACAGTGTAGCATTAGTATACTTATTTTAATCTATGAACATTTAAACTTTAAATTAAAGTTTTTTTTTAATGTATTTTATGTTTACATTTTCATATTTTGTAAGATTTATATCTCTTCACGTATTTGAAGTTTTCTATACACATGTCTAGTTATAAGTTTATATTTAACATTAGTATAGAAAAGTTGGTAGGCTAAAAGGAAAAGGCTAAGCCAACTTTACTCAAAGGAAATGCGTTTAAAAGTTAAACTGTTTTCAAAAGCTTTTAAACTTATTTACTTCAGTTGGAAATGGAACCAACAAAGAAGCAAAAATGGCAATGATCGATAGAATCAATAGATAAAATATAATCTATGTAGTGAATATAATACATAATTTTTTTTTTACTAAACCTTTAAAAATAAACGGACGTTTGGATATTTGGTTCAATTGCAATCATCCTTAAATGACTTAACACATGTAAATAAATTTTGGCATATAAATATAATCCTAAAATACTCGTATAAGTCCGACCAAATGTAATTAAAAATTTGTATTTCTCGCTTGCTTGGACTAAATTGGAAACGCATTTAATTTAAACTGAGTGATGCAGGTTCAAATTCCGTCAGTCAAACCATCAGGAGGATACAAATTTTAACCTAGTATCTTAAATCATCATGTACTGGATTTATACTTAGGATATTTTAGTAAATAGAGACGTGGCATGTAATTAGAATTATAATGTTATACCTAAATATCCTCATTAGTTATGAGTCCTACGTGTGAACCGGCTTCGAGTTGACAATAAGATATCATTTTACTGCCGAGTCAAGGTTTTATAGGAGTATGCCGATCGTCGATATACAATTACATTTTATAACATACAATATAGTTACTAATATTGTTATAGATTTGTAATTATTACTTTTATTTATTCAACCGAAAGTAATTCAAACTATTTTTTTAACTAAGAATTGGTTAATATGCTATTTTTGTCTTTCTGGTGTTTTTGCCGATAAGCAGATTTGCTTATATATATATATTTTGTATTTTTGATTTTAAAAGGTGAAATATGGTAGTAATATTACTAAGTATAAAGATAAGGAAATTATAATCTTAGGTTTATTAAAGTATTTAGGATACCTAGGTTATACAAGAAGACTTATTTTGTAAGAGACTTGGGGATGCCATCACCTATAGACATAAGCAGCACCATGGTCATCACAGAATACTCTATAATACCTATAGTACTTCTAATTTGTTACCTTTCTCAAGTTCCCAAAGATTATGATAGTAGACTTCCGACATAGCAATTAAATATATTGATGTAGGAAACAAAGCTTGGTAGTAATACAGATCTCTTCTTACTTAATTCCTCTCAATCTGTCAGGAGATTAATCGTGGTCATCATCATCATCTCAGACATTATATATCCAATGCTGAACATAGGCCTTCCCCATAGACTGCCATAAGGAATGGTCCTGAGCCACTTGCATCCACTGAATCCCTGCAATGCATTAGAGGTCGTCACTCTATCTAGTGTTGTGGTAAAATCCAAGCAAATTCTCCACTGTACTAACTGATTGAACATCACTCATTCTTCACTAGTACCTAGTGTAAAATTTAAAATTTATATTATTTAAACATAATGGTTTCCACGTTCCACCAACTGTATTCAGTTATATAAAAAAGCTTACAGCAGCACACACGAGCGCCCACACCGGTGCTGATCGTAATATACTCTTCCAGGGCACCGGATCCTTCGCACTCTGGTTCTCGGCAGTTGTGACATTATTGTTCAGGTAAGTCAACTCTTTCTTCGAGATGTACGGATGAGTGTTTGGCGTACTGTAGCACAGAAGACTCTAGAATAGTAACAGAGGTGATGTGTTTATTATTTTTTATACTTTGTATAATTAGCAGTGATAATAAAAGCAATTAATTTGCGGTCTATAAAAAACTAAGTACGTAAGAGTTTTGTAAATTGTATCAGATCAACTAACTTATAAGGTAATAAAAATTTGGTAAAAATATCTAGGTCGCTCTAAAATGTTTTGACTTATTTATACTAGCGAAGGTACTTCTAATAATAATTTCTAATTGACGAATTGAAACAATATTTATAAGCAGCTTCCAAAAGCAATGAAAAAGAGGGTGTTCTCAATACGTCTGTATTTTTTATCTCTATATTACGTAATATCTTTTCGAATTCTAACCGATTTTGATAATTAATATTGTAATCAATTTTTTTTACTTATGGAATACTACTGCCACTGTCGTGCTTTCTGCCATTTTTAGATTTATTTTAGATTTTGGTATGTTCGACGAAATATTGCCCACATTTCGTCGTGTGTTATATTTACAAATGTTTTTTATACAATGTAACTTAATGGTAATAAACTGTATTGCTCAGAGATGACAAAACCTTTAAATTGCTAATCAAAGGTAAAGAAGTCACTGTTTCTATAGATAGGTTAAAACCCGCCTACATTTTAAACGATCACACTACACTTAACAACCAAGACACGAACAATCCTGTAGCTAGGACTACCCGTTCTGGACGTCGTGTCCGATTTCCAGATTTCTATCGCCCTTAACCAGGTCTCATGGGGGGGAGTGATGTAGGCTACCAACCTCTTTCAAACCTACATAGTTAGAGAAAAAGAAATAGTGACGTTCTTGACAATCTTCTTGTCTTAGCAATTTTACGGAACTATATTTTGTATCGCGACTTATTATATCTGGAATTATTTACTGTAAATATTATTAATTATACAATCTCGTACTAAATCTTTCTTTCTTTCACTCCTTCTGAATTTATATATATAAATATCATTAAGCCCACATTTCTACATCTCTACAAAACAAGAAATATCTCTGACTGCTCTAATAGTCTAATAATAATAATAATAGTCTTGAGTATCTATTTTATTTTCCTAAAATTATATGTCCCCCAAAATGGTTTCAAGTTTGTCCTTTCCATCCATCAATAATGTAATGAACATAACAAATAGCCATTACTTCGACTATTACAATAACATTACAAATATATAATGCATTGTACTTCATTATGTATTTCTATGTTGGCATAATTCATGGCTTGAATGAAGATATCTGTTAATAAAATGTACGTTGCTCTTAGTAACGTAAATTCTTCTTATCGATTCTTCGCTGAGGGTATCCTTGAACTATTTATACGTAGGTATGTACTTATAATTAAATAAAGTATACTTATTCTGTTGCTATTAAAAACAAATTTCGATAAATTATTTACGTAGTAAACGATGATCTTTTATCACCAAGTGTGGTACATTATATAAATAATAATACAATAAAACAACACAAAAATCTAAACATATGCCTATTATAAACTACAAAAAATCAGTAAATAATAAAAAAAAAAGAAAAACAAACAGCATACGAAACACTGGTCAATAAATATCTATCAATTATTATTTAAAAGTTTCAGCGAGCATTTAATTGTTATCTTAAATTGATCCAGTTGAATTGTTTGTTATTTAATCTATTTTTTATAAATAAAAAAAATATTCTTAGTTGAAATTATGTTTTATGATGTATGTATGTAAAAATATTATTTTCATATTAATACGAAAGGTTATTGACACTTAATGAAACTTTGAACTCATATTGATAATATGCCAAAAATACTTTTGCACGCACTTTTAATCGAAATGTGACAATTTATGAAAGAATATTCATAAGTGCTTTTTATGCATAATTTTAACTTTATTAATATGTACTTGGTTCAGCGAATTATATTTTTTTATGCGACTTAGAATGGTAAACAAGCTGATAGCCAACCTGATAGAATGTGGTAACGTCGCCTGTATACATGAGCAGTACCATGGACATAACAGAATAAACTGTTTCGCCCATGACACCCCCCCCCCCCATGTATTACATGTTGCCATGCAAACATATCTGTTTCACGGTAGAAACACGAGTGGGACAGAAGTACCCAAATAAACGACTTTTGTACAAAATCTCCCTCTGGCAAAAATATCTTTTTTATACATATTTAATTTACAATTATTTTATATGACTAGAAATAAATATAGAAAGTCCATGCGAGATCTGATTCCCAGCGATATTCCAGTATCTAATTCCTTGTAGAAAATTTTATAAATAAACCTATTAGTTTTTGCTGTGCATCAATAAAGTCGATCAGAAAATTGCCGATAGATAAGTAACTTGAGTGTTCTTTTCAAATATATATATATTAGATTTTTATATGTTTTTATGTAGAAAAACTAATAAATACAGGTGAACGTAACGAACGCATACCGATTAAACATAAAGTAAATCTTCTTTAAATAAAATTGTAAACAAAATCTATTATATAATATATAGTGCTATAATGTAAATTTATAACTTTACTTTTAAGAAAATAAGTGATAAATATATAATGACTTACCCACAGTATAAACCATAATATTCCAAATCCACCAAAGAAATAGAACACATAGGCCCAATCTCTTCCGTCCGCTAGCAGAATGCCAGACATGAAGGAACCGAAAATGTTCCCAATTTGAGCGCCACCAAATACAAGAGCTCCCTGGAATGATCTTTCGTGTGGAGGTACCCATCGCGCCAACATTATCATAAGAGCAGGCATTGTTGGACCCTGTTAAAATATCATCGATTTAGAAATTTGGATATTTTTTTTTATTGGATGAAAATGAAATGGTAACCCTGCCTGCGCTAACGGGATACGCTAGCGGGGCACTAGTGAAGGGTGATCGATGAGAATGAAAACAGGCCAGTTAGCCCATCATGATGAATTCATCTGGAATTAATCATAATATTTTCCAGGGGGAACCACGAGGAGGTCGACCTGGTTAGGTATATTGCTAGCAATGGGATTCTTAGTCTCCATTACTAACAATCCCTTTCCCCCCAGAAATTTGGATAGTACTATTTAAAGTTACATTATTAAAGAGTCAAACTTTGTAATATAATATCGGCGTGTTATAAAAAAAACCGTATCAAGTATAGGCAAATATTGCATTAAAAAATGCTCACTACATATCACAAACATAATAACTCATATTACGAACACAATACGAGTCATAATTGCTTACATTTATTCATATAGGAGCGATTAGGTATCATATACGTATAAAAAGATATACTGTATTCTAGAGTACCAGTATAGTATATATATTATAATGTAATACAGAAACTAGAGTTCACTCTTGAAAATACCATCAGAAAAGAAGTGACAACAGCGATAGCAATTTAATAATCAAGTTTGCACTTTAATAATCAAATTTGCATAATTGATTTTTGTATCTACTGAGTCTTTATTAGAATATCAACACTCCCATGATTATAATCGATTTAACAATGTTGTTTTATTAAATCTTTACTATAGTTATAACGTGAGGTAACTTTTTTATTTGTTAATAATTTCGTAAGTTTATATTTTAGCGTAATAACTACCGACCACACGATCAAATTACACGTAAATTAAACCGGTAGTATACTACAATATACTATAATATAATATATTAAAATATTTGTGTTTTTTGATTGTTATTTTTGGCACATTAATGGCTCAACCAATTGTTAACTAATTAATAAAGTTATTAAACGGAGAAAGATTATAGGATACCTATGTATACGGCTTGGTAATTTATGAATAAATTATGTCAGGCTCACACTCGCTTCGTAGTCGCTCATAACTAAGGATCACGAATTGATCCCGAAACTAGTCAAGCTTTCTCGATCTCATTACATATAAGTTAAGCCGATAGTTATTACATTAAAATAAATTACCTGTTTTCGTAAGTTATTTATAATGCTCTTTTGCAAAAGTAACTATTACTAAAGATTAAGGTGCATTTGATGCAAAGCAGTAACTATTTATTGACATAAATAACACAAATGACATCATCACACATTTTATTGCTTTAGATCGAAATAATATTATATGCACTATTGGTTCAGTACACAGATAAGAACCTGATAATTTAAATGGAACTTTAACTATTTACAAATTAAAAGTTTCGCCCATTTCTAAAACATAAATATTTACAAAAACGAGCATTTTCACGAAACGAGTATTGAAATCTGATCAAATAATAATTGAAAAAAAAAATTAAAGACGGGATCGATCTTTATCTTAAGTTTCATTAAAAACAAACATTCAAACAAACAAACTTTCATATTTTGTAATAGGAGTATAAGTAGAATAATAATACAATAAATTGTCCTAAATTTGTGGTTACTGACTATATTTTTTATTTTTATAACTATTTAAATCATGCATATAAAATTAATACTGATATTTACCTCCCCCATTCCTTGTAAAACTCGAAGTATGAACAGCCACGTGGCTCCGCCTACCCTAATCACTATGGGAGTGAGGAAAGTGAATAACGCCGTACTCAATAATCCTACTCCCAAGGTCCATTTACCTCCAAATTTCTCGGCTAAGTAACCACCGGGCACTTGAGTGGCTGCATATCCATAGTAAAAACCACTTAATATAAGACCCTGAGTTGACTGATCCCAATCGAAAATTGCGTACTGAAACAGAAAAAAATATAGAATAAACCTATGACAATTTAATTATTTTATTATATTTATCCTCTTAAACAGTTGTTTTGACTTCATCCAGATGTCCTTATCAGGGTCAGTAAGGTGCTTACGATGCAGCGTCTCACCTTGGACCAAGTTCCGGATGAAGTCAAAACAATTATCGGAAATATCGTAGTAAGTTCATTAAACATAAAAATTAAAAGATTTAAAAATATTAAATTTATCTATTGAAATAATAAAAATGTCTATACTTAAAGACCTCTAATTATTTAGTTTGATTTCTAGTTTTTGTTATATAAATTCATTAGCAAGCAAGATAAATATTATATTAAAAAACAATCACTGCTGAATTATTTTTTTAATGAACCAGTTCTTATGAATACGAGTCAAACTTTACTTAATAGATTTATTTAATAGATCATTAGCAGACGGACAATATCTTAGAAGTACGTTACACTAAGTCTATGGAAAGTACTATCTCATAATAGACCAAACAGATTAATAGAGAGATTACTGTTTTTATTTTTATTACCTAATTGCTATAAAGAAAGGTAATATCTTCGAATATTATAATTATATGTCAGTGTACTTGGTGCAACATTTCCATCCCATTTAATAAAGTCTATCAAATATTATAAGCTGCCTAAACATATTGATATTTTAATTAAATAAGGTGTAGATAACAATAGTACATATTAAATATGCTGTTGTCATATAACTTATACCGCCTTTAATATAATATTTTTCCACTTTTAATATTTAAAATGAAATAACTTCTATTCACAACACTTGTTCTTTTTGGACTTGGCGTAAAGACGGAGGATTGCTTTTCCCTTTTGTATCTTCTAAATTAGTAAACTGCTAGGATTAGGTAAGCATTTCTCTTAATAAAATATTTCATCATCATCATCAACATTATCATTATTGCCTTCCTTTGTCCTATTATTTAGGATCAGCGTAGGGCGTATATTGCTAAAATATTTGTTTCTGTTATATTTAGATTGATTTAATAGTAGTTAACACTTTAATTAAAGAATCATGTGAGTGGTGTTAATTGACCTTTATTGTGTTCTCTTAAAACAGAAAGCTTCCCATGACTGGTAATTAAAACGTTGTCATCATGTAAATATATGTCAGGGTCACAAATTGTAACTAGTAAAAGGAATAACGCCATTGAACTAAATTCATAGGTAGTTAAAATACCTATTAAAATATAACTACCTATTTCCTTTTATGTCATGTACAAAAATTGTATAATTGCTCATCTGCGTAAATTCAACATTAAGTTGTTCCCATAATGTGTACATCCTGTATAAATTTAAAGAATGTACTAGTAAATTAAATTTTTTTGGCATTCATGTGTACTTTGTAGATACGCAATAAAATTATTCGGATGCTGGAAACTGGAATAGTGCCTACAATTTATAACGAGTAATACAAATTTTAACATAATCGCAGCGTTATATTTATTCTATTTAGAATTAATAAATAGATTATTAGCTACTTTTTTATTGAATGTCGCAAGTGTGCATAAATATATAAAAATTAATGATTATAATTATTAGTCGTAAATATTATTGTTGGACCTTAGCTAATATCATTGCAATTTTTTTTTTAATTGAAATATATTAAATCGCACAATTATCATCTTTTTTTATATTACTTTGAATGGCAAACAAGCTGACGGTTGACCTGAAAGAAAGTGGTAACCGTCGCCTATAGACATAAGCAGTATATGGACATAAAAGAGTATACTGTATCGCCCATGATACCTTTCATGCGTTGTACTTCCTGAGAACTCAGGTATTATTCCTCTGTATCCGGTAAATTCACTGCCATATCTCACCCTACAAACCGAAACATAGCCATGCAAACACAGTTGCTTCACAGTTGAAACACGAATGAGACAGAGGTGCCCAAGCAAACGACTTTTGTACAAAGTCTTCCTCTTTATAACTATTATCAACTAGACGTTAACATTCGACTTTTTTATAACTATTACCTCACGAAACTGGTTTGAATTTACCAAAAAAAAAGTGTAATATATCAAGTTTTATTTAATTTTACAACTCGAATTAATTTCCATGTAACAATTTAATTACGTATTGAGTTAAACTATTAAGCCTAGAACAGAATATAAAATTAACATAAAATGTATCTCATAACTTACCGGTTTTTCAGCAACTATTGTCGTAACATTATTAATAACATCATCACTAGGGCAAGCATTTTCATCAACATGGGCTTTTGAAGTTTTATTCAATCGTACCATCTGAGTAATAGCTAAATTAAGACATACTCGCATTGTATACGCATTACAGACTCCAAGCAAACCCATAACACCTAATACATACCGCTGTGGAATGACACAACCTGAAATGAATAAAAGTAATGTAGAAATACGTTTTTTTGGTAACGTACGGGAATACTTCAATTTCTGATATTAATTAGCTCTTAGAGTGCTCCTTGAAATGGTCTGTCTATGTTATTCTAAAGTCAAAACATAGCCCTTATCGTAAGTGATTTTATGCGATCATTTTTGACACATTTTTTATTTATTAATTTCTTTCATTAACAAAATTAACCTTTAAGAGATATATTTTTTTATATTTAAATTAGTTTTATTGCAGGAATGATTATATAATGACTAATTTATTTATTTTATCCACAGGTATTGTAAAAAGCATGATGGAAAATCCTATTAATTAGTGAGCAATGTAATTATGACAAAGAAGAAGAATTAATGAGTGTTAATAATTACTATTTAATATACGTAAAGTTCTAATCAGTCATCTTTTCTTCGTTCAACTGGCGTTACAATACCCAAAGGATTCTTTCTGTCAAGATTGTTACGACTCGTTACTCTTGTGTATTACAATGTTACTAATATAACAATAAAATGGTCATTCAACTACAGTTGTGCGGAATAACAGTTCGCCCTGGAGGAAAACTAAAATAAATTTCTCGCATTAGTTACGCAACTTTTTTTTTTAATATTATATTAAGCATGCTTACTATCTTCAAGATACCTAATTTATGGTGCAGAACTACCTATCCTTATAATCTCTTAGATCTCCTTCATTCTACTATAATTATATGTATAATAGTATTGTATATTTATATATTTATGTATGTATATAATTGTGCTTATTTATATATGTTAAGCTTTACATTTATTATTTTTAATGCGCTACCTACCCATTTATTCTTCTACCCAAAGTTTGGAAGAGATTGTTTAGCAATACCACCTTTTGTACTACTCTATGCTTATTGAAAATCCTTCAATAAGTCCTGTGATATCAGTGCAACAAAGTGATAAATAAATAAGTAAAAAACAACAGCTTAATTCCCAAAGGACTAAAGGAAAATGAGAAGCAAATGTTAGGGATATTGTAACTATGCGATATACATATGTTATTACTAGTACTCGTAGGTATTTTGTTACCGTATTTTAACTTCAAAACTGTGCACTGAGATTTAACAGTTCCACAATTTAAAAAACGTACTATATAAAATCAATGTTAGTGCTTGACGCGATTCTGGTCTAATACTATTTGGACTGTAAATGTATCTTATTTTTAAATTATATCAATAGTATAAGTAAACATATTATTGTTGTATCGGCCGTTAACTAACCACTATTAAACGTAACCTTCCCCATAAATTTTGCCAGTAGTTGCCACGCTTGGCAGGGTTGGCAACCGCAGTTTGGCTTTTGGTGATGTTTTAAGAGGGACTCTGCTACCCATCCCTCCAGCAAAAATATTATAAAAATATGAAAAATACAATTCAATACAATAATTTACTTCTCTTTTCATTTAAGAGTTCCTCTTATCGGTGCAACTAATTCATGCATCTTCTTCCAGCCAGTTCTATCCCAGGCCATATCCTAAACCTCCCTATACGACATGACATCTAGTGTTTCTTTTAATAATTATTGTGCGATAATTATGCATCTTTATTAATAACAAAGATAGTTTTATGTGATTGCAAAAAGAGGAATTTCGCAATTCGGTTATATTTTTTTTTGTATATATTATACAATATCTTTACAATAAATTAATTAAAATTCCAAAACAAATTTTGTTAAATGAAATTTATTAATATTTAATATTATTTAAGAAGTGCTGTGTTAGACACGAATATGTACAAGAAAACTCAATCAACGATAACTGATAACTATGTAAAGAATATTTGCTTTGTTGTAAGATAGGTTAGTTATATTGCAAGTCAATGAACTCTTCTGTACGCCAGTGACGTAGAAGTTGCATCAAATACAATGCAAATCTAGAATACAGGTTCCAAGCATGGGAAGTCTAGTGTGGGAAGCTTTTGACCCACTTTTGTGTTCAATGAGTTTTGCTATGGGTGTTGTTATAATTGTATATTAAATTTGTCATATGTATAATATTGGATCTGATACGTCGTATAAAAGATGTTAATAGGATCATTTGGAAGATACGTTTAGATTTTTTACTAATTTCAATTAAATAGTATTTCATGATAATTTCAACAATACTTAATTATTAAATTCTCTCTTGAATCAGCCTATAGCTGAACTGGTCAACAGGGTAATAATATTAACGTGCATAAATAGTAACATATCCTATAAGGAATGAAATGTATTAAAACGTATTAAACAGCAATGCAAGAGTCAAATTCATATAACTCTTTCATTGTTGCATATAATATGCGTTATTACGTATATTCATATATGAGTCTTTTAATAACTTATTGCAATAATTGAAACACACAGAGAAATACGTTATTACTTTTGCCTGCCTGTATTATAATTAACAAAGTAGGAAAAATATGCACTCGTATAAGTCTTTTCATTATTGTGAATGTCCTTCTTTCATTGTGAATACAAAGTGTCGACATTGTACCTTTTATAAAAAAAATCATAAAGGTGTCATTTACTAGTACTTTTATGTGCATATTACATAGTATATTAATATATTATATAGTTATATATTAATTCTTTTTCATTCGATAGATAGTGTGTTGGAAGGAATATTAGGCATCTGGTAATTAGACCAGCTCCCCGATACACTGGCTTACTGTGTAGAAATGGATGGATAGAAATATTAGTTTTAGTCACATACATTATATACATTTAGTCAAAATTTAAATCGCTTTTTTCTAAAAACTTAAAATATATGCTAATGCGATTTTTATTATAGATATGCACTGTCTCTAACTCATAAATGTAATATAACGTACTGAAAAAGTGAAACTGACCGGCAAATGTTTTGCCCCTTATCGTCACCTACCGGGTCCAGAAACAACAATACTGGCTCCAAAAATTTCATACGGTTATTTAATTAACGGTTGGACGGTTCCGTAGATTTGCGTAACAAGAAATTTATAAAACCTATTAAGATTATATCATTCGTGGCAAAATATACAACTAATGAATATTAATTATGTTATTGGAATAAAAAAAAAATCTTTAAAATAAACAATGTAATAAACTAAAAAATGATAAATCTATTACCAGCATCATTTAAGGTAGAAATAGCGATGTTAACGACAGTCGTTAGCAAACTACGCGCTTATCTTGTTACAAGAAAGATTGGTCTTACTTTGTCCATCGGGTTTCTACCCGATAGATGAAGAGCTGCCACCAAACTAAATATTCTGTCAACGATCAAAATGCCCCAATAAAGAAAGCTTAGAAAATATTCCTTGGAAGCAGCATTTCTGGTAGTCACGACCCTCATGTTTGCCTGTCAGGTCGACCTCCCCGTGGTCCCCTCTGGAAATCATCGTGCTGAATTGCAGGTACATTCATCACGATTGGCTAACTGACCTGCTTTTTCATTCTCAGTTATCAATCTTCACTGGTGATCCGTCAGCATATACCATTAGCACAGGCGGGGTTACCATTCCATTTTCATCTATTAAAAAAAGACCCTCATGTTTGAGGAATCGACTAAGAAGAAGCAGAAATTTATTTTTGACATAAAAACGTGAAAAGTGTTACAATGACTTATTTGTTTCTTGTGTGATATTCCGTGATATTCATAATATTGTTTGTATTTATATATTACCATATGCATACCATACCATAATATATATTAGCATCCTGTTTTGCACATCCTAATCTCGAGCAGAGTAAACACTTTGTCTAGAATAAACTTGTGATTATTATTATTTTATCTAGAACTGTTGTGGCAACAATTGCTGTAATTGTAGAGATTGCAATACATGCTTGTTAAGCATAATAATATCTTACACAAGATTATATAAATAAGCGTGTTGTAGTTAAGTGATAGCAGATTGTAACTTATTGTTTCCACGGTATACTCGTATCTAATCGACTATCAATATTTTGGATCGTTCTCATTGAGTCGTTTTATTCATAAGTCACCATGTTAGGCAAGCAAATTGATTATAATGGAATAGAAGAGACGATTATAACAGGATCTTAGCGGAATTTGAAGGTAAGGAGGAGCATTACAATTTAGAAGATTGTAGAATAACAATTGTATCATACCGGTTTCTTGGCAAAATGTTTGGCCTAGTAACGGTGTTTTGTTATCATCACCGGAATAAGCTAACCACCAAGTCCGCAACTATACCAGTAAATGCCTAAGTGTTTATTTATAATGTGACTTATTTATTTATATTATATATAACAACTTTTGTGGTCTAGTGGCTAAACATACCGCTTTACCTTTGGACGGTCGCAACTTCGATCTCTGTATAATACAAACATGTATGTACTTGAGTATTTTTTTAGTAATAATCTGAGTGTTTCTATGTAAACTATATATTTATAATATTTAAATATGTCTATCAATCCTCTAGTACTCATACTACAAGATTTGTTTAGTTTGGGTCTAGGCATGGCATAAGCATCTGTGTCATCATCATCTTCCTACCCTTATCCCAATAATTATTTGGAGTCGGCGTAATATAGTTTTATCCATATTACAAAAGGATTTAGCTTATAGTTTTAGACCGGCCGCCTGCCTGACGTCAACCCTCTTTGGGAATAAGCATAGAATAAGCATCTGTGTAATACGAGTAATGCAGTGGTATTTATTACTATTGTTTATTTATTTCGTATAAATCATTAAACTGTCTACTTACATGATCTTAAAGTTCTAGTCAGTGCATTATCGACTCTCCTTGATTGTGGTGCTGTTTTTTGTCCGAGCAAATTGTGCGCCTGAGCAGGCGCTTCGCGATCCTCCATTTTTTTTAATTAAATGCAATAAATATTTATTGAACACGTTAATATCACTTCTTATTATCAGTCTGAAAAAAAAAGATATAATATTTATTAATTATTTATTCAGCAGTTTCCTCCAATTTGCCAGTACATGAACCGGTACACTACATTATGTGTGTTACGTTATATTACGCAAAATTTTTACCATTGTGTGATCCGGCTTTGTTGATTTTTTTTTTATTTTAATAGTATAATCTTACTTTGATTCTGCATCTACTTTTTTTTCAATGAAGTTGATAAGTTTTTGTGTATTGTACTGTTTTTTTTTTATTTTAATTTAAAATGCGTCATTAGATTGCAATTTATATTTTTTACAGTTTGAAGTTTGCGTACAGTTTGCATTGAAGTGATCATAATATAAAAACAAAACACTTCTTTATTCTTATCTTATCTGCATCAAGTTTAGCGCCAACGTTATTATAGAACACTCTTTTTGTAGTATATTGAAAATATATGTTATCATTACATTGAATTACACTGAGAAATGCAACCTGAGACTCTTCAAGTCGATGGTGAATAGGTATTTTCGGGGTAAGCGCTTCTTATCCTAGATGTTATCATCGCTAACTCTCAGGTAAGGTAATATCAAACGCAAACCTGTCTTATAATAAAATGAACTCTATAATATCAAAGAAATATAAAAAAGAAAATAATGAAAAACTAAATTAAAATAGTCATGCTGAGTGTATAATTTTTTGCGGACAATATCCTACCATTATCGACTTTTGTACTCTGTTAGTCTAATTAATAATTACCATTAAGTAATTAATTAATTAATGTAATTTTATGAAACCTATTTATCTATTAATTAATTTATTAGGAACATCATTGTTATAATTTGTCATATATGATACATTTGAATAAGCATAACGTTTAACATTACATGTGTCAGCATATCGAATTTTTTATTGTAAGTAACAGTAAGTAGAGATATTATAAACACTACTTAATGGAATTTAATTCAAATTTTATATGCTCATCACAATTATAATCTTAAGTGAATTATTTACAATTCTCTTTTGCATTTTGTAAAGAAAATTTAATCATCAGTATAACCACTTCAAATTAAGTGCAGCACCATTTACTACTATCAGAAAAATATCCATGAAAATGTTTCTGTATCAGATTAAGACACAAAACTTGAATTGTAAAACACATAATAATATACTCACATATTAAAACTATACTTAAAAATTATCAGGCACTAATTACTGTAACGCACTCCACTAACCCACATTTTATAAATGTATAAAAAACAATCACACATGCAAACTATCGTTGCCAATCACAGACTGGCATGCGCACGAGTTTACTTACTCATTTATAAGTATCTATCAATTTTATTGTATGTATATGCGTCCGAACAAAATGCGTGTTTCCAACAGAGCGGATAAATGGCGAATATTGTCATCTGGTGTATATGTTACCCACGCTGGTTACATAGGTACCAAAACCACGAGGTAGTTAGCCTTGAATCGTATAAAGGCCACTACACACTCGAGTGATTTGCCATATTACAAAGTACATGATACCACTTTAATTATAGTATTGTTTATTATTTAAAAAAAAAAATATTTATGTAGTAAATTAGTTTGTAAAGTATTCGAGCTATTTGCTTTTATATGTTATTCTTTTAATAAAAGTGAATCTAGACTATTCTACAGTGTTTCTACTTGAACAGTTTCTATTCCGTAACATTACGATAATACATTTCACTAAAAATAACTTTCTTATATCTTATCTAAATATTATATCTTATATCTATAAACATTGATTGATAAAGATCTACTTGTACTAACATTAGTTTTCCATTTTATATTGAACTGTATAAGATAGTGGTAGATAGATAATGGATACTCGAGTGCACATTTTTTATATTTTTACCAAATTATACAATCTTTAGTAAATTGCTTAATCACAATGTTTGCAGAGTAGATATCGAATCGGTTAATTAATTATATTTAAAAAAACTATATATAGTTATATGAGGCATATATGAGGAGGCAAATTATATATGAGGTTAGAATTAAAATATTGATTTTGTAGAGTGATTTTGTATTTTGTCGTATATAACACGATATTATTGTCGACACTAAATATCTTTATACAAAACTTGTTTATTATATTTTGTTTTTAGATAAAATTGCATCATGATATATCATATTATTGTAAATTAGAATAATCTCTAATAAAAACTGGATTAAAATTTAAAAACCTTTTTCTCTTGAGAAAAGCTCTTTTTCTTTAAAATATTTCTAGATTTAAAAATATTATGTAAGTTAAGTCTGTCTCTACCTTTACAACTGTTGAAGTATTGATACCAGTTATATGGTTTAATGCTATTACAAAAGTTGCGCCCGCGCTAAGCTTCGAAGTGGTTCTGACGAAGCGCATATTATAATTTTAAAATTCTTTTATCCTTACTTGGCAAGTAAGTAATAAATTAAGTTTAAATGTAACATCTAAACTAAGCCAAAGCGGAACACATGTTTCGATTTTGAATATGATTTATGTTTAGCTTTATCATTAATATTCCTATGGAACAGGCATGGTAATATTATTAATATTTATTACAAATAACATAATGGACATAAATAGTATCACAGACATTTAAAAAATCACAATAATGTGCATAATACACATGGGGCGTTGCTATTTTAGATAACTCCATGTACTGTAACTTCACTGCTATTATCCATCCTTTAAAATCCATGCATATATATGATCAACTGTCTACCCCGTAAAGGATCTATCTTTAACTTAGCGAATTTTTATTTAAAAATACGTAATCTTGTTTTATTAAATATTTTTTATCTATAAATATTGCATACACGCTCACAGTGTACTGGTGTTCCCCATCACACATCATAAAGACCGCAATGATAAAATGATGTTAAAAATAGCATAATATTACGATTTTGTAGCTAAAAATAACATCAACAATAATTAACTAAATCGTTATGTAAATCGTTAATATAAATACTCATGACCTACATTGAGAGAGCATTTATAAGACGAACTGCACAAATGAATGAATCGAGTAACTATCTGATAACAATAGTATATTTACTTATGGAGAAAAGTGACCGTTTATGTGAATTCTGGGAACTATGCTTTCTTCCGAGTGATGTATAGTGCTTTGTTGTGATACAACATTCATCATCATTATCATATCAACTTTTAACTGTCCACTGCTAAACATAAGGCTCTCGCAAGGCGGGTTTTGCCAGTAGTTGCCATACTTAGCAGGCAGATTGGCAACCGTAGTTAGGCTTTGGAAATGTTTTAAGAGAGACGCTGCTGCCCATCCCTCGCCCTCTCTTAGTCGCCTCTTACAGCAGAAAGTAAGGGACCTATTCTATGCCGGAACCACACGGGAAACATATAACATTAGTAATTTTTTTATAAGTACGGAATTACACTTATGCATCGCTATTCCTCAGGACTGAAACATTATACCCATCTATTGTTACTGTCATGTACACTATTATGACTATTCAAGCCATATTAACGAAATACAAGTACAGCTGAAGTTCGAAAAATACAGAGGTGCCTAAGTTATGCCTAAGTAGATTATTTTTGTTCAAAGTCCTCCTTCGTTTTGTTCTAATTTGACTATAAAGAATTTATAAACAACTAGCTTCTACCCGCAACTTTGTCGCGTGATCGGGATATATTTACTGGCCGAGATAAAAAGTAGCCTCTATCCTACTCCGTCCCGTATAGTACGTATATAACAAATTTCATAGTAATTGATTAAAGCGTTTAGGTACTATAAGGTAACAAACAATGTCACTTTCACATTTATAATATAATAAGGATTGATTTATTAATTTCATGATTTATATTAAAGTCGTAACAACTATTTACATTCCCAGTATTTTCAAATATATAATTTAATTTATCGGATAATACATTATTATTAATATCGGAAACATTTTCTCTGATTATCTACATTTTTAATTCTCGGTGACTTTTTAAGTTTAAACTACAGCAAACAGTGACCCAAGCAGGCTATTGCATGTCTAACTTAGCTAATGATTGATGCCGAAACTAAGAAATATGTAATTACAAAGAACTGATAAAAATATGAACTAATAATAATAAATTGGATGGTTAAAAAGCCGCTTTATTAAAATTATAACACAATCCATTTCATATAAATTGCCTAGTTTTGCAAGCATCTCAAGATTTTAACGCACTTAATGTAGTTTTATCAGCGGATGATACGGAATAAATAACATTAGAATTTGTATAAAGGGGGTCTTTAACTCCTGATCCCAAATCTATTGCACAGGAAATAGTAACATTATGGTGAATAAGTAATTTACTAGTAAAATATTTAATTTTCATATAAACTGAGGTAAATCAATGCTTACATCGTTTATCTTTTTATATGTCTATGCGGAGGACCTTTAAAACAAATATACTATATTTTTAGCCATATCTAATATAGATAAACAGATAGTCTATCTATCTAGGAAATAAACTATAACAATAAACAAAAACTTAATAAGATAAGTAAATAGTGAATACCATGTTTAACCGATTACAGTGACCAACCAATTTACATACAACATGTATGCGTCAAAACAGAATACAAATGTCTTGGACTGAGACCTTCGTTGCTTTGGTCAGTTATATAGTACATGTATTAATTATATAGATATCACATTTAAATTTATAAACGCGAAAACGTAATCCATAAAACGGCCAATCAACTCTACGCTCTACTTCGTTAAGCGTCTTTGTAGTATGAATTGAGTTGTGACCTTAAAAACAATTCGATGTATGTAACGTACAATTCTATGAATAGTAATTATATAAACATTAGCTACTGTAATCAACAATAACCACGTTAACTAGACATATTCTATTAATACTTACAATGGCAAACACGTTGACAGTTCACGAGATGGAAGGTAGTAAGCAATGCCATAGGCCATCTATTGTTGCCTCTTTGCTTCTTGTAATTAAGATTATTACCAGAAGGAAACTACAAAAGTCGATTGCTTGGGTACCTCTGTCCCATTCGTGTTTCAACCATTTGTATTTGCATGGCTGCGTTTGGGTTTGAAAGGTGGGATATAGCGGGAATTTACTGAGTACAGAGGAATAATACATGAGTCCTCAAGAATGGCAACGCATGGGGGGTATCATGGGCGAAACAGTATACTCTATTATGTCCATGGTACTGCTATGTTTATAGGCGACGGTTACCACTTTCCATCAGGTGGGCCGTCAGCTTCTTTGGCATGTAAGTTGTATAAAAAAAGATATTTTTTTGTGTACATATTGTTTTCTTATGGAATCTGTATCATTATTTTAGGAGAACATTATAGAGTTTTTCATTCAATCATTCGTCGCCTATAGATGTTCACAGCATCATGGATGTCACAGAATATACTGTAATGACCATAGCACTCCTCATACGTTGCCATTCCTAAGAACTATGGTGCTATTCATCTGTACCGTGTAATTTCACCTTCATATCCCACCCTTCAAATGGAAACTCATCCATGCGAACACAGTTATTTAACAGCAGAAATATGGGTACAATATATTTATTATTTTTTATTTCAATATTTATTTAAATTTCAGTGCACAATTATATAAATAAGTATACATATGGTGGACTTAACACCAAATGGCGTTCTCTACCCGTCAACCAGAAAATTAAATGGGTAATGCATTTACTATTAAAATGTGTACAAATTTACGTAGAATATCGAAAATAAATGCAACTACTAATTAAATTAAATATTGTCACGACCATATATACTTGTATATATATATATATATACGAGTATATATATAGTTATCCATGAAGACTAGATTCTATTTTTGGTTAGGCTATCAATAAGCTATAACAATAACCCAATATCTCTTATTACTTACTGGACACGGGTGTCTTCTCATTGAAATAGGGTATTAGGCTACTATTACCGCGCTGGCCAGACGGCTTGATATGGGATTTTATTTCGAAATTTTCTTCTGTTGGACTAGTATTATGTTTTTTGTACCTTAATCGCTTATTATATCCTAGATATGACCACGATGGTACTAAATTTCATTCAAGTCTGTTTAGTCGTTTAAACATGATTGAGTAAGAAACATTCGAATATCTTTACAATTTTTTTAATATTAATAGGATTAGGTTATATGTTAATAAAAAGTAGAATTTAAGAACCTTATTTATGTCCATACCACCATCATATCAGCCGTTATCTGCTCATTGCTGAAAAGCCTCCCCCATAAACTGTCATACGGAACGGACCATTTCTTATGGCAGTTTACTATTAAGGGAATTCTGCCAAAAGTTGCCATGCGGGTTGGCAACCGTAGTTGATAATGTTTTAAGAGAAACGCTACTGCTCACTCTTCGACCATTAATTTTCCTTAGTTGCCTCTTAACCACGGGAAAGAAAGGGGTGGTCCATTCTATACCGGAACCACACGTTTTTTTTTAATTGTTAAAAGTGTCACGTGTTTAAATAAATTTAATTTATTTCAAGTCTTTTCTTATTTAAGCGTGACTGAATCACATGTACAATGTATATACCTATATAACAAGTTCTGGATCTTAAGACACGTCATTGCATCTCGAGCTGTGTTATGATAATGATAAAATTGATTGATAGCTTTATAAGACGTCTAGACGTGATTTAAAAAAACGAATGACAAGTAAATAAAAACATAGCAATATTCTGTGGACTTTTTACATTTTTAGAAGACATCAAAATTATATTATTATTTTTGTTAGTGGTATTTTTTTATATTTTTTATCGTACAGTAAAAACTAAGCAGTATAAAAATAAAAATCGCTCTTAAAATATGTCCACAATTAAATTATTAAGTAAATTAAATAATAATAATAATACTATACATATTATAACAAAAAAAATTAAATAATGAATTCTTCTATTTTGCAATGACTTTTTCAACAATATTTAAAACATTCATAACATGAAATGATTAATTGTTGCTGAAATATATAATCTGCGCTGTCTTTAAATTTGTGTATAAAACCGTAAAAACTGTGAAACAAAGTGAACGTCCGTTATTCCAACTCGCCTTGCTGGTTTTTTTAATAAGCCATTCAATATAGTCGCTTAACAAATAAAAACGACTCGAATCGTATAATTTGCCCTTTATAATCTCCTTTAAAGGGCTTAACAATGGATTTGTTTCATTATGTTACAAAACCATGGTCAAATACATTATGGTGCTCTACTATGCAATTACGAAATATTTCCCATGTTGCTTCCTCCACACGGCAATGATGTCATATCAGGCGTTGATCTGCGTATTTAATCAACTGTTAAATTCTCTCTGTACAATGTTTCGTCTCCTGTTGTTATATCTACATTATTCAGATCAATGTCACCGCCTATTATAAGCAATATTAAATTGTATGACACATTAATTAATCAAGAGTTCAAAAGTGTTAATTAATATTATCATCAGCATTTTTAGCCGTACGTTGTCCTTTCAATGTCAGATCTAATATTATAAATGTGAAAGTTTTAAGACCTCCATGATACAGTGGTCGGGATGGTTTTTTTGAAAATGCGGTCGTGGATTCAATTCTTCAATTCTTCAATTCAAATTGATTCAAGGCCAACTTAAGAGACGAACTTTACTGTTTGGCTCCAGTCTAAGTATTTTGGGTCGGGCTTCTTAAAACAGAGTATTCTAGCTTGAAGAGCAGGCGATAGTGTTACACATCTAATTGTAAAAATGTTTAAATGTCGGGAGACGGTATCGTGATTTCATGGTATTTATAAACCCTATAAATAGATAGTGTGTTTAGTTTTGACTGATACCAAAACATTTGTGTGTCTATTTAAATTTGAACCAAGGAACTCTCCGGTGGTAAAAAACACAAATACCAAATCCAACCGAGTAATTATAATAGCTCGCTTCTTGGTGTGTTGAATATGAGAAACATATATACGGTCGAATTGAGAAACTTCCTCCTTTTTTTGAAGTCTGTTAAAAATGCCCGGCGTAGTATCCTGTATAATGGCCGATCGAATGGTCAGATTTCTTTAGAAAACACGAACACGTTATTTCAAAGCGGCTCTATAAAGGAGGAAGTTCTGAACGTAACCTACGTGAAATTTCGTCAATTCCCAAACGAATTTCGAAAAATATTTAGCAATTAGTAGGGTTTGCTCTAATTTTTTCAAATTTTTTTTGGAAGTATATATGAAATGGTAACACCACCTATGCTATCAATATACACTGACTGAGTGAGAATGAAGTCAGATGAGTTGGCTCTTCGTAACCAAGTAACCACAATAATTTCAAGAGGGGTCCGCGTGGAGGTCGACCTAGTCGAGCCACTAAACTTCTTTTAATAACAATACCATCGTCCCTTGCGAGTTGATTCCATAATAATTTTGTTACGATTATATTATTTTTTTACGAAATAGAGCTTACTTGTTATAACCGCTTGACGATTTAGTAGACGATATCGTGTAATAATTTATTATAATTTATTGTGTCAATGTGTAATAACATAATCATTAACTTATTATCGGAAACACAAGGCTAAGCTATAAATTAGTATTCTTAACACAAGGAAATAAGGTGGCAACCGACAACTATTTGTATGTACGTGTGCAAATTTGAATAGGCATTAGATTCGTATATTATAATATAGTTATTTTAATGTTTCGGGCAAAATTAATATTTCATCAGTAAAGTTCTAACAGTACATAAATTGACATTTGACACTTTACAGGAGAGCAAATAATCTTGATAAAATCTGTTGTATTTTTTTTTTAACAATAAGGTTCATTATATAACAATTGTTTTCTGATTAGCCAATCTACACTATTATCAGAAATCGAATCAAATCAAAATATTAAATGTGTGAAAAAAATTACTTACGCATTATTAGAACTTTTCTGACGATTTACTGTATTTTATAATTAATGCTCATGTATTCAATATATTTTGCCACTGTGGACATTTGCCTTGCTGACGCCCTCCCAGCTCGGGATACGCATTTAGATACAGTAGTCACTCTTTATTACTCTAAAAATGGCATCATTTACCGTAAAATAATTTTTATCATTTTATTCGTGAAGTTTATAACCTCCTACAAATTTATTTTAACTGTTAGAGTATCACTATCAATTTGAGAAAATATTGTAAAAAAAACAATAATAGCTAAAATAAGTTTAAACGTTTGATATTTTATAGCTAAAGAAATTGGACAAGTAATTCTCATAATTACACTCATTACCTGGTCTTCAATATAGAATAGGATATTATAAGAAACCACGCGTCCAATATCTAGAAGTATTACCCAAAATATCCAGTCTTAAGCCGAGAAAAGTTCATTTTCCAAATTGGCCTTAACGAGAATTGAATTTATATAAATGGGTCCTTCTTCATTTGTACAAAGTAAAACGCCCACTACTACGCCACGAGGTCACCAAGTATACTGTATTAGATTTCTTATAGTAATAAAGTTTTGTTGACCAAACCTCGTCATTTGTTTTTGTCATTGTTATTTTATGCTCGAGGATATCGCAAGCTGCAAAATGTATTAATTCGTAGCTTGCGATACCCGATATCTAATAATAGTATAATATTAATCCACCCTCTATTAATATAGAGTATAATAACAATTCCTATTACAGAATTTATGTAAATAATAGTCGCTTTCGAATTACGGAGTTAGCCAAAGCCAACTAGTTAACATAAATATTATGTAGTTAGCTAACCCCGTTAAGCATACAGCAAATACATGCGCGCCTGAAGCATGGTACGAAGGTGTGAACTCGAACTGCCCTATCGGTAAAGAAAATACATAGATAAACTATTTTTTTTTTATTATATAGGGAGGAAACGAGCATGCGACTCGCCTGATGGTAAGTGATTACCGCCGCACATAAGCACCCGCAACATCAGATTATTATCTCCAAAATTATATTCTTATATGCTCTGTCACTTAACTCAGAATTTTTTGCTGCATTTTTCCTTCGAGACTCGCACGTGACAGCCCTGCTGTTTCTTACGTCCATTTCATAACGTCCAACTGTAGTATATGAGTCTCTCCCCATAAAAAAGTATATTGTCTACTATCACGGTACCAAGAAACTTGGTATAAGGTAAAGGTCATTTCATGTTTTCTTTCTCTTCTACTAGTATGCTGTTCTCGGTTTCATTAGTCCATTTTTACGATATTCTACAGATAGAAAATAATGGTGACATATTGTATTTTTACTCCATCAGCTTCGTTTTTTATATAAATATGTAGCCAATTTAGCAAGAATGTATCTCCAACAATATATATTATATAAAAATATGTATTACCTTGTAGAAAAATATTTTTGTTAACTCAATATACGAGTATATAGATATATGTAGATATCTTCAACATTACATTAAAGTTTATCAGAATATTTATCAAAAATTCAAAATACTATTCGAGATCTGTTATGTATAAAGAGATTAAGATATCAGTTAAATAGGTACTCTTAACGATAAGATGAAACATCAAAAGGAAATATAGTATTGATGTACTCGTATATTATTTTAATGAATTTGATTAACCACAAAATGCTTGCAAATCCAGTGGTATAATTCACCCTTTACTCATTTCGGGATAAAGAAAATAATTTTGAGACAATAAAATAACATTAGTTTTATTTACATAGGTATATTATATTTAATACAATTATACAATCACATCAACTGTATACACGAAATATACTCGAAATACAAAAAATCACATATTGTGATTGTCCCAAACAATTGTGACCAAAGGATGATGATGATCAAAATTTACATAATGTCAATACACATTATTTACATGCATCAACTATTAAGAAAATAGCATATCTTACTAATTTTCTAAAATTAATGCAAACGTAGAGAATATAATTTAATTTTGTCTTTGCGATGTTTACTACATCTATTTAAAATGACATAAGTACAACATATTTAATTTAACTTTTTAGTAATCAAATTAAGTGAAAGAAGTTTTTTTTTTTTTTACTTAATCGCAAAACTAAATATATAAGCAATTATCTTTTTTACGTTTCTTCTTAAAAATGTAATACAGTTAGGGTATTTTAATTATATACCACGTATGTAATGTATCATATATTACATATGATAATCGCATGATACCATGATATTTAAATGTTGTATATAATTAGATAACGCTTATAATATTTATTGCTAGAGTGGCTAGTTAGCAGTTAATTTGAATAGCAGTTAATAGTAACTATTTTCTTTATTTCACGTAGTTTAATTATTATCTTATTAAGAAAAGTTATTTTAAATTAAAAACTAACTTGAATAGAATATTTCACTCTGTATTTAATAATAAAAAAATCTGTTATAAAATGAAAAAAAAAAACTATTTCAAAACTTTTGTAAATTTCCATAAATGATGTTTATAAAAGTATCTAACCGGTTTCGACTCTAAAGGATTTTGAAAAGATTTATTGCTATAATACTACTGATATACTACTAATATTGCATATTATTCACGACTACTAATAAGTACTAATTTTATTACCCATAAATTCCTTTGAAATGTCATAAAAGCGAAACCAGTTACACGTTTATTGTCAATTATAACGTATGTGGAAAAGTTTAAGTGTTTATTGCTTAGATTGAAAATAATATTAAAATGAAATACTGTTCTTAAGATGTACAAAAAATACAATGGATTTAGAATGTTAAATGTTATTGAAAAGAATATAAAATAATTTAATGTTTCACTAAATTACAATAATCAACACTGTCTATTTATTATATGATTAATTTTATTATTCTAAAGTGTTTCTAGTATATACATACAATCTGTATATATGTACGTATATACATATACATACATTTATACATATATGTGTGTTGTACTAAATCTAAAAAAATATGAACTATATTTTATTATTATAATCACAGAAACTGTAGCCATTTAGAATGATCTAATTGTAGATAAAAATGTAAGACCAGTGTAAATACGGTAAACTGGTCTACATTCTACAATAAATATTAATTTATAAGAAAAGTTATAGTTAAATGGCACTTCTTAACTACTTAATTTACCCTGTCTGATTCCGACATTATTATATTCTGCAAAAATAATAGTTTTTAAACTAAATATCTTAATTTTATAAAAAAAAAGATTCTACAATTCTTCACAGAAAATAAAAATGCTTATAAAAATTCAAATGAAAATTTTTCAAGTGTACTTACTTTTTTTTTATTTCAAAAGTAATAAGTAGATTTTCAGTGTACATTTTAAAAGTAATTACAAATTTTATCGCATCTTGTTGTTGAATCTGTTAAAATGTAACCTAGTTTTAATATAAAAATAATGACCAAAATATTTTCAAACAGGTACCTGTTATGTATAATAAGAATCTCGAAAAAAATTAAGTGCATGCTAGTCTTTTCATATTTTTACGTTTCTTTTATTAACAATGACTCAAAATTTTATTAAGGTGGCAAACTTCAAAGATTTAACCTATTTTAGAATATGAAAACATAAATGTTCAATAGACTTACAGATATATCTCTGTATTATAAATTTTCTTATGATAAAAAAAAAAACTAGAATAATACTTGAAATTAATTACTTGTTTTGTACTTAAAAATTCTGTTGACTATACCCTAAAGTGGTAATCAAAGGCATCTCAATTATTGACTTTATAGTGAAGATAAAATTCGATATATTCATATTCCGCTGAACATATACAAATCCAACGTAGAAGGTGACTATGTACTTTTTATCAGTGTCTATTTACTGAACCAATACGAATCTATCGAGTCTATTATAATAAAAATGTTTTTAATTTAGGATTATGTAATGAGTGCATTATGTATTAAAAATAATAAATTATCCATTTTCATTTACTATGAAATATACAGTGAAATTTCGATTATCCAAACATCTATTATCCGAATATTCAATTATCCGGACAAGACAGGACGAATCTGATCCCATACAATTGTTACAACTGAAGAGCATCAGGGTTCGTTTGATTCATTACGTTAAATAATAATAACTAATTATTTCCAAACAAAATTTTAAATTACATAGGTATTATGTAATCCATTATCTTTATAGCTCGTAATTTTTTATAATAAAAAAATAATAATATTTAATTACTGTTTGATTAGACTTTTAAATCGATTATCCAGATTTTCGATTAATCGAAATACCCCTAATCTTATATAATTCGGATAATCGAGATTCTACTGTGGATATAAAACCCGAATCCATTTCATACATTAATAGATTAATTTATATAGTTCTAAAAAATTTAAAATACACAATCATACACTAAAAACAACACTAAATATTGCAATATACGATTAAATTTCAAACCAACCAGTGACGTTTATAATCAAAAGTTCGAACATACTTTTTTTTATTTTTAAAATCATCTAGCGACGGAGTTTCATAGTTAGTACTATATATATAACTCCACTCATATCTTGTTTTACGGTAAGTACTAATTTATTCTATATTATTTAGATTTGAGTTTATACTTTAAGTAAATTTTGTATGGGAATATGAGTCTTAGGTTTTATATATCAATGCTATTAATTCCTTTGTTATTATTAAATATTACTGTTATACACATACAATAAATTAGTTTAACAAAAATAAAAAATAAAATTAGTATCGTCGCCCTTTCAGTAATAGAAGTGTAGGTATTCTTTTGCCTTTATTACAAATCTATGTATGAAGTTAACTTCAAAGTAAGAACTTTTAATGTTCCAAATACATAACTCAGTGAACGATTATCTATTTTTATTTAACTCGATGTAGATTTTTCTTTTATAGCCTTCTTACTTTTTTCCTTATCTAAATCTGCAGTTTTCAGTGGTCCATGTTTCCATTCCGATGGATACCCATACTGTCTCACATCATCCCACCATTGCTGTTTACCATCTGCCCAGAAGATGTACACCACATTGGTTCCAACTAATACAGCAAAACATACCCAGAATGCCACTCGCCATTGTGCTAATGTTGACTGAAAAAAATATATTTCAAGTAAGAATTATAAGTAAAAAAATATATATATAGTAATAGGACGCTAGTCAAGATAATTACAACTTTAATACATGAGTACTAAAGTCAAAAACTAAAAATAACAACATGCAGTCAATTTAATTATTGAAAAAAGTCAAATTATTCCTAAATTTATAAATATATTCATAAGGTCGGTAGAAGATAAAGTACATATTTCAATATTTATTACCTAAGGAATCAGGTAATAAATATCCTATTAATATAATAAATGCGAAAATTTTAATGACGAATGGATGGATGGTTGGATAGATGTTTCTTACTTTTTCACGCAAAAACTACTAAGTGGATTTGAATAAAATTTGGTACAGGGGTAGATTACATCTTAGTATATAGGAGACTTTACGAGTACACACTAATTCTTGCGATTGAGCCGCAGGATACATATAGCAGCTAATATAATTTATAAAGAGGATTTGTGTACATTAAACACGGAAGTAGTTTCTCACTGTTTTACCGTTGTTTGAACTTTTATAATATAATAGTTATAATGTTAAAATATATTTTAAACAACCGCAGATAGAGAACACACAAACAGGTCCTATACTATATCTGTGGCTGATTGTCATTGAAGTGCTTTATCGATCGATACTCGTTCAACTTAACTCTGTAGACATAAAGTTACACTTAAGGGACATTGAAGTAAACCACGATCAAATCTCAAAGACATTAGCTTTAGACGAAGTTCACAAAGTTTACGACGGCTTTGTGCGGGCGCTTGACAATGAGTCCTTGTTTATCAATACAAGGCTATTAATGTTTAGAGTAAACTTGGAAGATTTTATTCTATAAGATTTCATATTTCAAGAAATTTCAGTTTCCAAATAAAAAATAATAATCGTGTTATACGAATATAATATCCCAGATACTCAAATTGAGAATTCCGGTGCATTTATCAGTATAAACGAGTAAATAAGAGTAATTCGTAAATACCCTGTAATAATTTGTTTCGTAGATATACATTAATATTATAAAGAGGAAAGATGTGATTATTTATTTATTTATATTTTGTTTATTTATTTGTAACGGGTAAACTAAAAATCAATCAATTTTATTTTATTTTTTTAATTATAGCAAGCTACATTATCAGAAAGTAACATAGGCTGCATATTATTTTCAAAAATTCTATCTACCCGGGCCGAATTGCTAGCATTATATATATTACTTGTTTATATTTTTATTCATATTTTACTTCGTAACAGTGTTATGATCCACAAAAAAACGGTAGCTTTAATCACCACAAAATTAAAAAGAAACCAACACTGAAATAAACTCAATTGCAAAAAAATGTGAAAATTGTTGAAAATTGTGAAAATAGAATAGGCCACGTAATTGCATAAAAAAATTGTAAAAAAAAAACAATCGAATGGAGAACGTTCTTTTAAAAGTCGTTTAAAAAGCAAAAAACTCGGAAAATGGAATCGTTACGAGCTCATTAGGACAGCTGTTTGCAAACGAGGAGACGTTGAAGTTTTATACTTTGACCTCGAATAATTTTCAATTTTCTGTAAATTATTCAGAGCAAGTGGGCATCAGGCTCATTATTGTGTTTTATAAAAAAAATCGGTTTTCTTTGCTTATTGTTTCTTTCAACTCTTCACAACCTTTACTATTCTTATAAATATAAAAGTGTGAGTTTGTTTGTTACCTCTTAGCGCCTTAACTAATCATTATGTTTGGTATACATATAGAAGTAAAATGGCATATGGTCCTTTTTGACCTGGTCAATGAACATATCACGGTCACGCGAATGAAGTCGTGGGTAAAAGTTGGTTTATTATAAACTAATAAAGTTGTTGAGATGCTAAGAAGTAAAAAACAAACAAACTTATTTTCACATTTAATATTTGCAACGATTTTAATGTTAACTTGGTGTAAGCAGAGGTGATAAAAATTATACAATTTTTTTCTTCTAATAAAGGGCAAGGAATTTAGCATAATCTATTTTCTATTACTGAACTGAAAATATCCAAAACTTATATGTAGTAAATTAATAAAAATTAGGTTTTTGTATAGTAAACTTAAGTAATGTAATATTAAATAATTAATTTATTATAGAAAAGGAATATTATTTTTTTAATTAAAATTTAGTTATCAATATGTCAATTATTTAAATAAGCTAATGGTAAATATAGGTAATAGTAATAATAAATACAGGTAAAAATACTAAAAAATATTGGTCAGAAAACTTTATACAATTAATTTATTCTAATAACCAAAAGAATTTTCAAAAATATATACTAATACATAAAAATGAAAATACCGGATTTGACCTTCTTTGATCTATTGAGATTAAATAGATCGTATGTAATCTGGATAAGGAGTCAGGAACATCCGGAACGGAAATTGATGAATGAGTAAATGGATTTATTCATAATGAAAAAATACTCTACGTGAAGGAATAAGGAAACATATCGTCATTCATATACCCGTTATATGCGGACTAAACTAAAAAGGAAAGAATATAAAGAACATTTACTGAGTAAAAAGAAAACAAACTGTATATTTTCCTAAGAGATACTTTATACATATATATACTCGAATACATAGAATAGAATTTCGACATTCGTTTTTATCCTTACATTTATAGATATTTATTTTTATTAAACACAAAACAATAAAAAAAGCTGATGGCAAGCCTGATGGAAAGTGGTAATGATAATGGTAGTGATGATGATATGTACAGCAGCGTGGATAGAATAACATACACTATAATGGCCCATGGTACCTCTTATGGATTACTACTCTAGAGAACTAAGACGTTAATTATACATATCCAATAATTTCACTGCCATATTCCACCTTCCCAACCGAAACACAGTTATACAAATATTACTTAGCAGCAGAAATATGATAGGAACAGAGGTATTCGAACAGATGATTTTAGTACAAAGTCTCCCTCTGGTAAAATACACCTATACACATATATGAACAAAATAGCAAGTGACTAAAATATAAGTAACTTTTGAAAAGTTCAACGGAAACTTCTAAATTCAATTTCAAAATGTCCTTAAGTGATATACGTATCTGAAAGGATAAAACTTTAAAGTGCTCTCCGTAGGGATTACCTAACAGATAAATTTTACTTGCAAGTAGTTTTTATTTAAATATATAAAGTATTCTATAGTCCTATACTTACATCAGGTGTCAAGAGACCTATTAGATATGGAGTGATAATTCCAGATATTGTAGATGTCCCATTGATCATAGCAGTTAGTGACCCGGCGTAGTTAGGAGCCAAATCTAAAGCATTTACCTGAAATAAGATAAATATATTGTATTTCAGAAACATGTTACCAACTCTTCCACATAGATAGTGCCAAATACAAGATAAATATATTAAATGTGACATTAGCTATGTTTATCTTGCCATTTTAAAAGCTCGACCAATTTTCATGAAATTTGGCAGATATATAGTATATGATATATCAAATACTATACTACACTATACTATAGTATGCTATGCTATACTATATTATACTATACACATTGTATCAGATGTAGGCTACTTTTTATCCTAATCTTATGGATGAAATCCCAAACAGTTAATATAACAAATAAATAGTTATTGTTCTATAACAGTTTCAATTACATAAAAATAATTTTTATTTTAGCAACGTAAATAATTTTTTATTGATAATATATAATACTTTTTTTTATTTTTTTACAACACTGGGGGCAAACGAGCATGCGGCTCACCTGATGGTAAGTGACTACCGCCGCCCATGGTCACCCACAACACCTACTGGTTGACAGACACCTACTAAACAACAATTATACTTTTACCATTAGAACAGTACCATTTACTATTGCTCAATATGTATTTCAATACATATTTATGGTTTCAACCCTAAGTTTTAAACTAATATTATACTAATAACAAGATATCGGTTACTAATACAATCACATACCTTCATGCCACTATAGAAACCACCCATAAGCGCCATAGATGCAATAAAATAGGCGACGGCTGCAAACCGATCACAACCGGAATACGAAGCCAATATGATACAAATTGCAGGACCGGTAGCAGCTGAAAACAATAAATGTGATATTAGAAACCCATAAAACCAATACAATGTAGCCATATTGCACAAAAACTAGTATTAGATGGCAAACAATATTTGACTTATTTAAGTAACAAACTAGCTTATGGTTGACACAATCGAGGATCTGATTTGTATTTCTAAATAATATACACTAAACAGTATATCTAGTGTTAAAGATAATTAACGGTGATTTTGTTAAAAAAAAACAATAACTGATCGAAATATAGTTTAAAATAGGCTAGGTTGGACTGAATCTGAATAAGTAAGAATTTTAATCAAATCTAAATTTTATATAATGCTAGCTGACCCTGTAGACGTTGTTTTACCACTTATTGCGAAATATCAAAATCGCGATTAAAAGACAGGGGTTGATCGTAAAACGATGAAAATTTAAAGTTGTGTGTATTTTTCAATGCTAAATCATAATAAAATAAAAATGGAAAAATTTGTCAAAAAGTAAAAAAAAAAATTTGGGGAGGGTCACCCTTATCATTGAGGGGTATGAAAAATAGATGTTGTCGATTCTCAGACCTACCCGATGTGCACACCAAATTTCATAAAAATCGGTAAAGCCGTTTCAGAGAAGTTTGGTAACAAACACCGTGACACGAGAATTTTATATATAAGATATGCCGTGTGGTCCCAATATAGAATAGACTACCCCTTCCTTTCCTATGGGTTTTGTAAGAGATAACTAATGAAATTTAATGGTCAAGGGATGGGCAGCAGCGTCCCTCCTAAAACATTGCCAAAGCCTAACTATGGTTGCCAACCCACCCATCAAGCGTGGCAACTACTGGCAAAGCCTCCTTTTTTGGAAAAGCCTATTTTCAGCAGTGGACAGTCGACGTCTGATATGATGATCCACCTTATTCCTATTTGATTATGGTCATGTTATAGCAACTTATAATTGAATTTAGTCGCCAAAAGTTGACAAAGATTAAATTTATTTTTAAATTTAAAAAAAAAACTATTTTTATTTTTAAAAGAAACGTCGTTACACGTATGAATATTAATTTTTAGATCTATTACTCTTTCGTCGTATTCAAGTGATAGATCATAAAGTAAATACAAACTTTAGTTTTTTTGTTCTTTCAAATGGTACAATACTTGTTCTATTAACATCTGACATAACTTAAGCATGTTAAAAGCCATATTCTTTAGTTTAACATCGGTAAAATTCAAATCTATGGTCTTTAGTGCTCTAGAACATTATGTTACGAAATTCCTGATAAATTAATAATAGTGAAATTAATATTGAAACAATATATAAATTGCCATACCTATAGTAGTGTGAATTATTCTGCCAACCCTTATCGAGTGCCAGCCTCTTGTCACACAAATATCACAGACCCAGCCAAAGATGAAGGAGCTAATCCACATAGCTAGATATGGTATGGCAGTAAGTGTACCCGTAGTTGCAATATTGAATTTGAGAACATCTGTCATATATTTAGGAAGATCTGTCACCATTGTATAGTAGCCCCAATCGTGACCCACCTGAAAAGGTATATAAATAAATAATAAATAATAATAGTAATAAACCTTTTTACTTGGCAGTAAATACAATAAAAATAGAGAATTTAGAAAGAGTGTGCTCTAAAAAAGGAGGTATTTCTATTAAAACTGTCTCATTATATACCCTTTTAAAAGTTATTTATTGGTAATTTTATTTATTAGTTTATATTTTAAATTCAAATCTCATCATATCTTTTTGTTTGGAGGTAATATTTAGCTCATAAAAATGTGTTTTGTTTTCTGATATAATATTAGATATCATTCAGAATTGTTACCTAAATCAGGATATCAAACTCAACTTGTATAATCTCTTCAAAGCTTTTAGAAAATACAGTAGCATTAATTTTTTAAAACTTCATTTAATTAGATAAAATTAAGTTCAGATTATTGTTAACAATCATATTTTATTTTTATAAAAAAAAAATATTTTAAAATGTTAACTAAGCAATAGACATGACCTCATTAAGCTACGTTAATTGCAATTAGTGAACATTCATGTCTTTAGAAAACTCTCGCTCTGGTAAATGTTACTAAATTTATTTAAAGAAAAGGCATCTGGTACACAAATGGTATAACATTTTGCAAACTTTAAAGACATTCACCAGACGTAGTGGGCACGTTACTTTGCATAATGAGGTTCCGGGTTCAAACCTGTTCGAGCCAATTTAAAAACGAAATTTTGGACGATGAAGATCTAGAAACTTAACAAAGTTTGTTTGTTCTTTCTTTTATTGTGCGTGATATTCTATATTATCTATTAATAATTGGAATAAACACAGTTACATTTTAGAATTAACAGTACAATTATATTAAGTAAACTTACAGCTGCAAATAGCAGAGCCCAAACTGGAACAGATCTTACGATAGCTTTCCAGGGCACAGGATCCCTAACACTTTTTGTGTCTGCGCTGGTCACCGTTTCATTTAAATATTTCAATTCTTCTTCTGAAATGTAGGGATGAGTATTGGGCGTACTATAACATAAGATGCTCTGAAAAAATGGTACAAAATAACAGCAATACTGATTTTAATTGAACATATTAATTAAATCCAATATTTATAAATATGGCAGAATTTGGACTACAAAACTGTCTCCCTCCATTAAAACATCCGATATTTAGCGGTTACATTAATATGTGATTACCGCGTGGTCTCGGTATAGAATGGGCCACCCTTTCTTTCCTGTGGGTATAGGATAAGAGACGACTAAGGGAACTTACTGATCGAGAGATGGACAGCAGTGTCCTTCTTAAAACACCACCAGAGCTTTGCTATGGTTGCCAACCTGCCTGCCAAGTGTGGCAACTTCTGGCAAAACTCCCCAATAGAGAGAGATCTATGTTCAGCAATGAACAGTTAACGGCTGATATGTGTAACATGTGATGTGTTTTTGTACAATTTTGTGATTGTAGTACCAGAGAGAGACTTTGTACAAAAGTCGTTTGCTTGGGTACCTCTGTCCCATTCGTGTTTCAACTGTAAAGCAGTTGTGTTCGCATGGCTGTGTTTCGGTTTGAAGGGTGGGATATGGCGTGAATTTACAGGGTACAGAGGATTAACACCTGAGTCCTCAGGAATGGCAATGCATGGGGAGTATCATGGGCGAAATAGTATACACTGTTATGTCCATGGCACTGTTCATGCCTATAGGCGACGGTTACCACTTTCCATCAGGTGGGCCGTCAGCTTGTTTGCCATTCTAAGTTGTATAAAAAAAAAAGTTAGTCAGTTATATAAATTAGCATTAGGGTAATAAAATAAATCATTTTATCTATTTATAGTACCTACGGTAATTAATTTACAATATTGATGAATTTATCCAATACATACCCAAGCCAAAAACCACAAGATACCGAAACAGCCGAAGAAATAAAACACATTAGCCCAATCTCCGTCTCCAGCCATAAGGAAACCTGACATAAAGGATCCGAATATATTTCCAATTTGTGCTCCACCGAACACCAAAGCACCCTGCCTTGAACGTTCGTGGGGAGGAACCCAACGAGCTAACACTATCATCAAGGCAGGCATTGTTGGACCCTGAAATAGAAAATAATTTGAAAAAAAAAAGTAATTACATAGAATATTTTAATAACAATTAAAGATACGCGGTCTAATCTTCAGTATAAGTAGTTGCTGGGTCCCACAAACATAATACGTGTTTTTTTTTTCTAAAATAATTATTATCTATGTGTATTTAATTTAGGTTCATTTTTATTTTTGCTGAGTTACTTTCTTTGATCTTACTATGATGCATCAGTGTCCATGGTGTTTTTCTTGCCTACTCACGATGATTGCCACTTGCCCTTAGAGCAGTAAGATTGTTATCCATGTTGTATAAAACATCTTAAAGTCAATTAACAAAGTATCCCCTTAATATAATAAATACGAAAGTTTGTGCTAATGTTTGTTACTATTTCAAGCAAAAACTTCTAAATAGCTTAGCACATAAAATACTTTAGATACTTATTCACGTAAGTGAAGCCGCGGGATACAGCTAGTAATTACTATATTTGTTTCTACTATGAAACAGTTATTGTATTATTATGTATCAGTCTGAAGAAATAAACAGTGTTTTTTTTTTTTGACAAAAGGATTAGTGGAAAATATAACAAAAGACGAGATAATTCATAAAGTGGCTTTAAAGAATATTTTAAAATAAAACGCAGAAGTGTTTAGAAGTAGATTTTGCTTTGCAACGAGCAAATATTTGACAAAATAATGAAATAAATACGAGAAATATTATCATTATAAAAGAGAATTTTTAAAATATCGCTTGACATCTACATAAAAAATGCAGACGAATTGAAAACCTCCTCTTTTGGAAGTCATTTAAAATGTTTGGCAGCTTGCAACATTTATACACTGGAATGAATCTGGGTCATCGCACTCATCATTTAGTGGCTATTGAGATAAGGGCAAGTATAACAACTTGAAATGTAAGAAATTTGTCATTGACATCCTTAATGAGTGTAAGTATTTATTCAATTATGAGTTTATCATCAATATCTATTGGCACTATTTGCATTTTGAATAATAGATATCGATTTTTTTTAAGCTTTATAATTTGTTTTATATATTAAAATATTTTCATTATGATTTTAAATATAAATTAAATATTTTATTATATTGATTTATTAAATTTATTTATTCTATCAGAGTAATAATAATAATAACCTTGTACACTTCACACAGCGACATCTAGTCTCAAACTAAGCAAAGCTTGTACTATGGGCATTACATAACTGATAGAAATGTTTACATACTTTTTTTGTAAATACATATATATTAAATGATATAAACGAACAAGTTATATAATTTATATATATGGTAATTAAAAACCTATTATAAAAAAACTCTTATAAATTACAATTTAGGATATAATTCAAGTGCTGTAACACATCATTACAGAAGCATATACATTATTAATATTTGAAAATAATATTAAGTATAATAATGAAAACTGAAAACTTTACCAAGAAATTACGAAAGATGCGCTTCTATAAAGAGGTATTCTTATATAAATCGACATTATGCACGCATTTAAATATATTCAAATTTTATAAATAGTTAATATTTAAAATATCTTATTTAATTGAAAATAGTTTAAAAAAATATGAAAGAAAATGAATCAATATCAATATGTCCAGATCTATAATCCCTAATTGGGGTAGTCAGAAGCATATGTCAAATATTATCGTTGTGATGAACGTAACACTGAATATGCCCATATTTCCCAGAGCATAATTAAATCAAACGTGACAAGTGAGCCTACCATCGTCACTCACGGAATCTCATTTGTATATATATGTATTATTATGTGTATGTGTGTGTATTATTCGTACACCAGAGGGAGACTTTGTACAAAAGTCGTTTACTTGGGTTCCTCTGTCTCATTTATGTTTCAACCGTGAAGTGTGTTTGCATGACTGTGTTTCGATTTGATATGGCATGAATTTAAAAGGTATAGAGGAATAACACCTGAATCCTCAGGAATGGCAATACATAGGGGGGTATCATGAGCGAAGCAGTATACTCTGTTATGTCTATGGTACTACTCATATCTATAGGTGACGATTATCACTTTCCATCAGGTGGGTCGTCAGCTTGTATGCCATTCTAAGTTGTATAAATAAAAATTAAAGTAACTAATTAAATTTAATCGCACCAATTATTTCTCAATACATTATCAACTCATTTCTAAACAGAAAAACAATATTTTCCTTTCTTTTTAGAAACCGCCCTCAGAGAAAATTAAAACAATAGAATCCTTATTCAACTCACCTCCCCCATTCCCTGTAGTACTCGAAGTATAAACAGCCATGTAGCTCCGCCGGCTTTCACTACAATTGGCGTGAGTAGTGTAAATATAGCTGTGCTCAATAGCCCGATGCCCAGTGTCCATTTGCCACCATATCTTTCGGCTAAGTATCCTCCCGGGACGTGGGTAATGGCGTATCCGTAATAGAATCCACTGAGGATAAGCCCTTGAGTCGATTCGGACCAATCGAATATTGCGTACTGGAAATGATTAATAAATAACGTTATTTTCTCTATTGTTTATCGATATTAATTGAAACTTAATACTCGCTATTATAAGAGATGTTGTAATGAGTATGAAGTTATATGAATCATGTCAAAGTATTGCAAATTATAAACTCAAATTAAATTGTTCTAACAGATTTATAATCTCAGGTCAGATTTATCAAAATTAAAATGGTAATTATCCTGAATAAAAAAATATTTAAAAAATATTAAGATTGTTTCATAAAAAAAATATTTTTTTTAAAACTAAACTACTGAATCAATTTTGATAAAAATTTTATGGGACTAATCTGTAAGTCTATCCCTTCAGATAATAGAAAAAAATCCTAAATCGGTTTAAAACTGATGGAGTTTTATGGTAAAAAACAATTCACCAGAGGGAGACTTTGTACAAAAGTCGTTTGCTTGGGCACCTCTGTCCCATTCATGTTTCTACCGTGAAGCAGTTGTGTTTACATGGCTGTATTTCGGTTTGAAGGGTGGGATATGGCAGTGAATTTACAGGGTACAGAGGAATAACACCTGCGTTCTCAGGAATGGCAACGCACGGGGGGGGGGGGGTATTATGGGCGAAAAAGTATACTCTGTTATGTTCATAGTACTGTTCATGGGCCGTCAGCTCGTTCGCCATTGTAAGTCACATAAAAAAAAACAAAAATATAACCTCCTTCTTTTTGAATTCGGTTGAAAAGAGGAAATAAAAATAAAATTTAAATTAAGAGTCCTTTATAAGTATGAAAAGTTGTTATACTTTTCATACTTATAAAGGGATATTAATATTTGTCACTGAATAAAGTTCGATGACCTATTGGTGGCAGTTTAAAATGTGTGGTAATTTTCGGCAAACAGACAGTGCATAATAAATTTATTCATAAATAATAAAAATAAAAAAATTCGTATGCAAATTAATACGTCAAATTTCAATTAATACTTAATTTTGAATGTACATATTCAGTTCAACAGTTCGAAATCAAAGTTTAATTTATATCTCATTTCCTCTGAATGAAAGCTATTAACTGAATTGGGTGCCAAAGGAAAATTTACTTACAATTTCTGAGTTACGGCCAACAAACAATCGACGCCAATCATTGGTTACTAATTAATAGAAGTTTCCAAGGTTTTATTTGCTATTGTTAGCTCGATTTATCGCAATGTCCAATTATTATATTAAAATATAATATTAATAAGAAATAGACAGCGCACCAGCATCAAGATAGCCAAAATTGGCCAGATGAGTCATCATTATCATCATCAGCATATAATTAATAAAATTGATTTTTACGTACGTAGGCACGTAAAACTTTACCAAAAGTAGAATAAGATTGATACGAGTCATGCAAACGACATTAGAATAAAGAAGGTAAAATACAATAAACTTATAACATTATTATTATGACAAAATAAAATAAATATTTTTATGAAATTATTCCGAAATAAATACAAAATAATGATAAGTTAATTGCGTAACATTTTTTTTATTAAATTTCATTTCTGAGAGTTCTATTTATTCTTATGTGATTCTAATGTTTTTACTACCTATCATAATATAATGTGGCATTAAAAACAAACTAATATGTTTTCCTCCATTGTTGATAGCTTTCAATAAAAAAAAATTACAATTACTCACCAGTTTTGAACTGACTGTTCCATTCAGGATTTCGCTATCATCAGGACAAGCATCTGGGTCGTAATGTGACTCCACATCTTTGGTATTGTTGACCATCTGCGTGACAGCCAGATTGAGACACACGCGCATAGTGTATGCGTTGCAAACAGCCAGTAGACCCATGATGCCCAGGACGTACCGCTGAGGGATTATAAACACTGAGCGGAGAAAATGTTTCCATGTAGTATTATTTTATTATTGAAATCAAATAAATAGGGCGTGCAACGCCATCTAGTACCAAACTAAGCAGATACTCGCACTACGGATAATAAATTAACTGATACATCAGATATACGTAAATGCGTGTTTTCGTACATACATATATGTATAATTAACGTCCAAATAAATAAAAAGGACATACTCATGACTTATAATCTTCATATTGTACGGAAATCGAACCCACGATCATCTTAAGGGTATCATTATATCATTGTGTTAAATTATGTCTTTATGCTACCTCTTCGCATAGTATCCCAAATAGATAAATAAATACAAGAGTATTTTTCTTACATACAACATGTGTGTAAGGAAAGTCCATCAAATTTCATATTTCACAATCAGTCAGTCAGTCAGTAACTTAAATTCTCTTGTGAACAAAAATACTGTATAGAAGTGGGATAATAATGTAAGCTCTACCAAATTTTATATAAATTTAGCTAGTTCAAACACACATTTACAATTATAATAAAGTACCTTTTAAGTAGAAATATAATCATGTTTGCCTGAAACTGTTTTAGTTACACATTTCGAATTCATTAGATATGGTAACGACTGATTAAAATGCCTTCCAACATTGAATAGGATTTACGTATTGTTTTTCTACAGACGTTTTTACTACAATTTGTAAGAGATATATTTTTTTAAATATCGCTTAAAAAAACTATACATAATCAACCTTTTTATGTGATAAAATTCTTATTGATAGGAGTGTTATAATTTAAAATATTTGAATTTAGAACGGCTTTTTTGGGTTGTTATTAGTCATTAGAAAATTTGTTACGCAATGAGCAAAATTTTGCTTCGCAAACAAAAGCAGACATTTCACTCTTGACAAAATTAATACAGGCGAATTAAGATGCTCCTCCTTTTAGAAGTGGGTAAAAAATTAATTATTACTTACATTTTGATATTGTGTGTCGCCATCTTGGCGGTAACATTTCACTGACGTTATCCAAGCAAACAGCTCAACAAATATGAGTTTAATATCTGGAAACAAAGAGGTAATCTGTTACTTACAATCTACTTATGACATAAAGATGAATTATAGGTATTGTTTACTCGCTCAGGTGTAAGATAAATATTGAAATGATAAAAACATGCCTCTATTATCTTACTAAGTGAACGTCAAATATAGATGAGCTGTATAGAATATGTTATGGTGTATCATTTAAATCATTGGTAATTTTATATTATACATATTATTTTATACTGTAAGATACTTCAGTAGTTCTGCAGGTTTTTCACGTGATATAACTTCTATTCCTATGTATTAAACTAATATTAACTGGCTAATAGACTCCTATCGTACCTATCAAAACATGGTCATGACAAAAGCAATCGCTATAGAATTTGATATATACGTAACGTTTAAAATGGAGAAGAATATAGGCTACTGCTTTTAGTGATAATAATACAGGCAATAACAATTTTTTTTATACAACTTAGAATGGCAAACAAGCTGACGGCCCACCTGATGGAAAGTGGTAACCGTCGCCTATAGACATGAGCAGTACCATGGACATAACAGAGTATACTGTTTCGCCCATGATACCCACCATACGTTGCCATTCCTGAGGACTCAGGTGTTATTCCTCTGTACCCAGTAAATTCACGCCATATCCCATCCTTCAAACCGAAACTCAGCCATGCAAACACAACTGCTTCACGGTTGAAACACGAATGGGACAGAGGTACCCAAGCAATTGACTTTTGTACAAAGTCTCCCTCTGGTAAATAAATAATAAATAGATAAAAAGTATTTTACCTTCACCTCACGCATACGAAGTAAGAATAAAGAGTAATTAAGTAATATTTATGATTAAATTTGGTTTCCTGCTCATATATTTACAACACATCTTTAATAACCCCTTACAATAAAGGTAACAAATGCTATTGAACTATCACGTACATGCCATTAAATCCCGTTCTGTGAATTATCTTTCAAAATGGCAAAAACCAGATGGCATTTATGTAGTTACTACACTTATATTCAAATGTTAGTTGTAATTGACTGATTAGATTTACTCGACATAAATCAATTGAATCGAATCATTAAAAAAATGACCTATGATGATGATAACAACGTTAATAATGCAACTAAATAAAATTGTAAGATGTTATTAAAATACATATTTATTTATTAATTTTATGTTAACTGACTACTAATTATTTTATTTAAGAATAAATATCTATTAATGTGTAAATTTATACTATATAAATATATACTATAAAACTATATATATATAACTATAAAATTATAGTTTAAATTAATATTATATTTAACTTACTATCATAGTAATAAAAAATTGAAAAAAAAAAATAGTTCGACTATAAAATTTTATCGAAATATCAATTTCATTTTAAATCTGCCAAAATTTGCATCAAACAGTTGAAAAAATGCCCATAAACTCGACATTTGACTAGCCTTCATTTCTATGCTGTCTGATGCAGCCACTAGAAAAAAAATAAACTGAAAAGATTTGTTATTTTGGAATTGAAAACGCGAAATATTTTTCGTTTGCGCCAATTTCACGGGTCTGTTATTCAGCCAGTCTGAACGAAATTGCATCTCTTTTTTATGGAATATGTATGTCCTTTTAACATATTTCGCGCTCTGTTATTCAAATTATAAGAAATAATATTGCACGTTTTTACTAAAGAATCTTATTTTTCAATACATATACAATATTTTTAATAATGAGATTAAATTGTTAATTTCATTAAAGATCGGGTAATCAGCCCATAAGTGGAGTAGTGTTATTATTTTAAATACATGGATATAGAATGTTAAGTTCCACCCACCTGAGCTAATGGTTTACGCAAGCGGAGTACCAGTGAGAGATCATATGTGAAGGGGAAGTCAAGTCAATTGGCCTATAGTGACGAATGCATCAGAATCAACCACGATTGATTGTAAGGGTCATTATTTTTAAGTGTATGCATTGCTACCTCCTTATTCATAAAGATGTCGAACATCTCATACACAAAATTTTCAATTTGAAAGAAAGTGACAAAGAATTATAATAATTAAAGTAGATTTGTCGAAGATTTTAGTTGTTATAAGAAATTATTGTTTATAAAATCAGTGTTTCATGCGCAGCACTTTCAATTGGTCGTTAGCGCTAGAGAAGTCAATTGTGATAGCTTTGTATTTTATTCATTAGCCACTAGAAGTTTCCAAAATTATAATAAGCTAAAATATAAGATTGAGTTAAGTATTTAATTTACACTAACATTATATTTATATATCATAGTAATTTAAATTATAGTACAATTCTTTTAACATTATTCTTCCACCTTGAAACAGAAGATTAGCTACTGTTTAGTATTACAAGTATCTGTTATGCAGTATAATAAGTAATATTTTCCGAAGTATTAGAAAATATAGTTGGCAGCTATCCAAGGTCTCTAACGATCTTTTCAAGATAAGATGAAACTATACTCGTATACTTATCCTACCTAATGATCGAATAGGTATTTTAACAAAGCTTTGATATGAACTATAAAAGCATACCAAATCCTTTAGAACTTTTCATTATTAATCATTTTATTAAAATCACACCTTATTCCTTTGTACAATAAACAAAGGCAGTTCCGTTCATTTTGTCCAAGTATACTACATACTACTTCTCTCTGTTCACTTAAGAGTTTCCTCTTGTCGGTATAACTAATTTATGCATTTTCTTCCAGCTAGCTCTATTCCAGGCCATATCTTTGGCCTCCCTATCCCTATATATACATACTTCCAAATTCATAAATTTCACCCACTTTCATCAATTCTGGAGAGTCTTCATTTGATCTCTTCTCATCATTCCTTCAATTTTAGATTAAAACATGTAGATAAGAAATTGCAATTTTCTGTAACTCCTCGAGATCAGAAATATCCTTTTTTTAGATCTATATACGAGGGACGCATACTAATTTACGCGAACAAATAGAGAAATTTAGAAAAACTGGTGATGTCAAACGTAAACTTTTTTGTAAGTAATATTGAATATATTTTATTTAATATAAGATATAATTTATGACGATGGTAAGTTTCACACTGAATTTAAATATATTAAAAGAATGTGAGCAAAACAGCAACAATCAACAAATGCCGGTGACTATCTCTTGAGAGATGGTAATCGTAAACATTTGTGAAAACAGTTGTGTTATATCGGACATGTTATGCTCTCGACGTCGTCTGCACGGCAAATGTTTATATTTAAAAAAAAATATCATTTTGCCTTAGCAATAATTATCCTATATATTGAACCTGGTAGTAAGTTACAACTATATCAAATCTCGTTAAAATTCAATCAGTAGATTTTATATAATACATGCTCATACAAAGTCTTGACATAAAAAATAAAGAATGATATTATTTTGTGTATATTAGATACTCTTAGAGTAACTTTCAATTAACTTCAAATAGTAAACATACAAGAACTAAGTTTTTATGACTATGTCATTAACGACATTCTTCGACAATTTAAGCCTGTGTTGGTTTTGTACAAATTTTCTTATTTTCAGCTAAATGTAGCTTAATATCTAAAATCGTGTCGCGTTATGTCCAAAAAACAAAAATTATCAAGTATACATACTAATTAGTGAATTTATGTTTATTTTTGCAGTATTGTAATAAAGTTAGTAAGTAACTTAGAAGCATCGAACTATTTAAGTGTTGAATAATATGACAACGGTAAGCAACTTTAATCAAATAATTCTAAAGTGTATGAATACTTTATTTCAACTTTATGAATTCATTGTCATGTTACCAATAATACCAATATCTGTGTTCCAGTCACGTTTCTGCCGTGACGCAACTATGATTAAATGCCTCTGCTCCGATTTAAACAGTTGTATATGGCAATTAAAATGCACTGTATGGAGACATATCCTCATAACCCTCACGAATATCATAGCATCCTCACGAATATCATTCCATCAAGTACGCTATCAACTTGCTTATCATTCTTAGTAACATAAATAAGCTTGTCTTTGTACATTTTATTAGCTTTATTATTGGTGTGTACAATAAAGCATAAATAAATAAATTTATTTATATTATTATATAATAAGGAAAAATATTCATATTAATTTTACAAATATATTGTACTCAGGTTTCTATGGAAATGTTCACACGTGCCGCTATTAATGTATATTCATACCATAAGCACTTAAATATAAATGACATGATTATGTAGTTAGTAAATGTTACATCTGCATAATATAACAAATTGTATATTTCTGGAGGGAAAGGATATATTGTGCGTTCCCTTTAATTACAAAATTATTATATTAGTATTCTATTCTAGATTTAAACTTCTATCAGATATATCTTTCCTTCTTTCTTTTATATAAATTCAAATGTTTTATAATAAATTGCATCAGTACAAAGTTGAGGCGAGTAGCTAGTTATAAATTATTAAGATTTATTTCTATGCAATATTACTTGGAATCTAGCACTGCAGCAACTTCACTTGATTATTAATTTATACATTTGCCCCTATAATTAAGCACTTAATTATAATTTTAAAACATTTCTATTATTCATTATTAAAGAAAATAATTAATTAAAAATGTAATACCTTACAAAAATAATACAATTTCTGTCAGTAGTTAACTTATGGAAATTAATAAAAGCATTAACTTAATTTTTACAACTTTCTTAGTAATAAATAGAATCAATATTAAATGAAATTTATGTATTTAATTAAATAAAATTTTAAAAATATGAAGCTTTTTAATTATGCGAACAATTACAATTTTTAATTATGCAATAATATTTCATCTGACTTTTGTAATTATGTAAATGACTTCCTGCGTTTATGTAATCTATTGTTTTCTAAAAGATGTTAATTAACATTTCGCAGAAGTGTAAAATTAACATAACTTTTTTAATTTCGATTTCTTGCAATAGATTCTGAAAATATATTGATGTCAATGAATTTATTCTTTTTCCTTTTCATAGGTTTCTCGGTAAGTCTTCAGTAATGAAAAAC